TCAATGCATTTCTTCCTCCCAGATCAGTTAGGAATACAGGGAATTTGTTAATCTCGTTTTGTCTGCATTCTGTGGATTGTTGGGAGTCTTTCTTTCCAGTGTCTCCTCACTGACAGAACTTTGTTTTAGAAATATGAGAATTTTGTCCAGTTGCTATGATACATGTTAGTGTACTCCTACAAATGGAGAAGAGAGTGAGCAGGTAGGGCAGCATTTTGCCCTAATGCTCTCCTCCTGAGTAACCATAGAAGCATAGAAACAGAGTCAGAAGGGGTCTCCTGGGCCATCTAGTCTGACCCCCCCGCTGGCTCCACTCATGACATGCAGACTGGCCTAGAGGGAATGGGGTACAGTGAGAAGCAGGTAGACCCACAGAAGAGATCTTGCCCAAGTGAACCCCCGCCCCTAAAAACAATGGTTTGTCACTGTTGTAAAAGGTGGTACTTTGAATAGTATCCCTATCTGAGGGTCTGAAGAATTTATGTCCTTTCTCCTGCCCTTCAGTCTGAGTTACATAAGGTGGGATGGGCAAGACGTGGCTTTCCAGATCAGTTCCTAGGAATCTTTGCCTACATGGTCAGTGATAAGGAATCTTGACAGTCCAGAGCCTCTTGAGAGAAGAGTTTTTGCTTATTCCTGACCTGAGACGAAGAAGGGGTTTTTTTAAATCTAACCAGTCAGTTGACTTAAGTCCTGGTCCTCATTCTGCTGTATCAATCTGGGTTTTGCTCACCCTCCAAAGAGGAAAGGGGTGGATGACCCCAAAGGTCTGCTTTTAAGACTTCAGCAGGTATTATGCTTGTAGTTGCAGTTCTGGGAATTAGAAAATTCCCTTGAAAGCTACGTTCTGTGTTCAGTCCAATTTTCTGCAAAACACATACAGTTCTGAATATATATTACTCAGCTTCCCAGTCTCATGATTTTGCTGTTTTGTGGCACATGCAGCTTGTGCCCTTCTCACATCTATTAATGCTAGCACAGTGCTCTCCGAAGCCTTCGAAGGAACTGTCAATGCAAGACTGTGCCCCAGGCTTGAGCAGGGCTTGCGTCAAAATTTATATGCATAAGCATCATGGTAGGTCAAGGCTTGTAGACAGGCATCAATATGCTGTTGCACCCCATGCAACCAGGGCCTTGCATGCACCGATGGGGGGCTGTTTATGCCTTCCGTGCAGTAATGTGGTGTGTGACTTTTGATCCACGACCCATACAGCTTTTGAAGTGAAAGGTCCCAAAATGTCTGGTGCCATAAGTAGGAGACTCGGAGCAGTGTGGCTAGGTGGGATATGTCTGTGCTGTCCACAGTGGTCAGTGCTCTACTTGAAAGCCTGTCAGAGGACTGCCTTCTGCTTTGTGGGTGCCTGCTCTTCAAAGAGCTGTCTAGTTTAAAGTTAAAGAACCATCAGAAGGAAGAGCTGGACCTTCAGAAGGAAGTTGCTGTTATAAGCCACCTAGAGGGCTATAAGAATAAGAATGGCAATAATAATCCACATACCTGTGAGCAAGCCACATACATCAGCCATTCACAGTCTTCTGCACTTTGGTGAGTTCTGCTATAATTCTATTTAAACTGTAATGTGATTCATAGTTCAAGTATATATAAACTGGCAAATGCAAACTGATCTCTTCTGTCTTCAGGGGGAGGGATTAATTCCGAAGTTTGTTCATTCATAAGTAGGGGGCTTTCATTTATCTAGTAATCCTAGTTGGCCTGTACAGAGACCCTTAAGCTGTTTTAAGGGTTGTTCATGGAGTGGTGTAGACCAGGAGTAAAAGCTTTTTGAGTAAAGGCTGAGGAAGTGGGTAGGAAGTCACCTGTTGTTATGGGCCATCAAGTCTTCTCCCACTTATGGAGACTGTATGAATGAGTGCCTCCCAAAATGACCATCCTGCATAATCTCTTGCAAACTCAAGGCTGTGGCTTTTTTATAGAATTGATCCATCTCATATTTGGTCTTCCTTTTCTGCCTTCAACTTTTCCTAATATTATTGTTATCTCCAGTGGGTTTTGCCTTCTCATGATGTATCCAAAGGACACCAGCTTCAGTTTTGTTGTTTTTGCTTTCGGGGCAAGTTCCGGCTTGATTTGACCTTGGACCCATTTGTTCATCTTTCTGTCAGTCCAGAGAATTCACAAAGCTCCCCTCCAGCACCGTGTTTCAAATGCATCAATTTTTCTCCTGTCTACTTTATACACTGTCCACCTTTCACAGCTCTATGCAGTGATCAGGGCTGCAATACTGAGGATGATTTTGGCCTTGCTGTCCAGTGCAATGTTCTTCATGCTCTTTCCTAGTTCCTTCATTGCTGCCCTTCCAAATCTCAAGCATAAAAATTATTATACTATGAGTTCCTTGCAATGTATAACATGCCTTGGCAAGGGGCGGCATAGAAATGTTTTAATAAATAAATAAAATAAATAAATGTTATCCAATGTATAATATTATAACAATCCTGTGAGGTAGGTTAGGCTGAAAGTGACTGCCTGGCCTGAATCCACCCAGTGACCTTCATGGCTGAGTGAGGATTAGAACCTAGATCCCCAGTCCAACAGTATTACCACTATACTGATAAAATCCCATGATATTAATTCCAGGAAAAAAAGGAGGTAGTTGGTTCCCTTCCCACCTCCCACCCCCTGCTTGTGAATTTTGATAAATTTTCTGGCTTCCCCAATCCCCTTCTCTCAAAACACTTTCAAGGCTCTAGAACATGGGTCCTCAAACTACGGCCCGGGAACTGGAGCTGGCCCGCCATGCCCATTTATCTGACCTGCAATGCTCAGTTGGACCCGCCGCACATGCGCCCACACCTGCCGCTCACCTCGTCCCGCGCATGGGGAGGCAGTGGTTTGCTTGCTTGGGGAAAACGATCTCCAAGCGAGCAAGCTCTGCCTCGTGCGTCCGCCTTTCCTCCCCTTGCAGCACGTGCACACCCGCCCACACCTCGCCTCGCACTCCTCCTCCGCCTCAGTGCGTGTGCCCGCACATGCCACCCCCGCCCGCTCACTGGCCCACGCGCCCCACCGGCACCTTTCAGCTGGTCCCCTGGTGAACAAGTTTGAGGATCCCTGCTCTAGAATGTTGAAAGCACTGCTGAAATTCCAGATCTTTTCAGATTCCAAGGGGAAAAAATCCTTGTTCTTCCAATATTCTGCATGTCTTTCAAGAAGGACCAAGGAGTTGGCAGGGTGGTGGGGGTAGAAAATGCATGACTGGCTGAAGGAAGTTTCCTGGGCAGGAGTCTAGCCAACCTGCACCAAGCAATGGGAGTGGCCTTGCTGGCTACCTTGCTGGGTGCTTAACAAAACAGGTTGAATATCAGTGGATAGGGTCTCTTGGGCAACTCCCTCTAAAATGGCTATTGAAAGAGGCAGGGTGTTCTCCCCACAACTTGCCCCACCACCCAAGATGAAAGGGGAACAGGTTGTGCTCTTTTTATAAGAGTTCCCACAACTATGGACAATTCTAGCCTTCCTATAGCAATGCAAACTAATGTGAGCTTCAGTAAGGCTTCTAAAGGGTCAAACAATCTTGGCAGTCCAAGCTTGCTCAGGGCAGTGGATAGTGGGGCAGATTTAGATGAGTCATGCCCCTCCTTTTCTCTTGCTCGTCAGTAATGGCCATAAGCCTGTTGTAGAGTTGGCTTCTTGCATGCAAAAGGTCCCTGGATTCAGTGTAGGCAAGGCTAGGAAAGGGTGCAGAGTCCCCAGTCCAACACTCTTAACCACTGCACCAGTAGCTCTCAACCCCTTAGAACCCCAAGATCAGCCCACTGGAGCCAGATGCCCTCAAAAATACAGTTCAGGAATCCTGATTGTTTTTTAAGTACCAGAACTGATCAGAGCTTATTGTCCTTTTGCACAAAAACCCGCTCCTGGTTAAATATGTACCTTCTCCCTGCATTCTGCATTTCAGAAAAAAAATTGCAGAGAGGGATTTTGTTAAAACATTCCTTCTCACCACCACCTTTGTCTGGGTCAGAGTGACATGCAAGGTGATACAGCGAGGTGCAATGATAAGAGGGAGAAGTAAATCCAGAAGGCTCTTCTCAGGGGACCTCTGATGAGCCATGGGATACCTGTAATTGATGCCAGCACTGAGTACATGAATGCATGCAAATCCATAAGCATATTGGGAGCCTGCTGGTCATCTTATGTCACAGGCAAAAGAGACTCTGGTTGGTTCATCTCCTGATGGCTTTAGGTTGGGAACTGGCTGACTTGCTACTTTAGGGCTGGAAAAATATACCTGAGGCTCTTTGGTCAACACCAGTGTATTGGTTGGATCTGCTTTCAGCTAGAAGTGCCAAGTCAAATGCAGCTTGGGTTGTTTGTTGTGTCTTTACCAGCTCTGGTACAACTCATAACCTGTGCGAGAGGTTTGTTGGGATAGTCCAAAAATATCATGTTGTTCATCTTTAATGCATAGTAACTTTGAGACCTAAGAACATAAAGGGCTTCTTGTGGTGGCTTGAGGAAAAACAACTGTTGCCCAGAACTAGGCTTCTAGACCTTTGAGGATGATGGCCCCTTTTGCATCACCAGAAAAGGGGGAACCATGTTACCCAAATAAGACCTTGACTTGCATATGCTAATTTATATGTATAGATGCCAATTTAGAAATATTATGGTAGAACTTCAGTGATCTCACTAAATGAATTTGTCAACACAACTGCTCACAGGGCATGGATTTAAGTACTTTTGTGGACTTCTTCCACAGCATCCTACAAACCATGAGATGATGTTATAGGAATTATTGCAATTGCAAAGATGTTGAGACTTATGGGAACTGCGATACTTACAAAGGTGTGACCAGTAAAACGTGTGTACCTGCCTGCTTGGCCTATTGCCCAGGCGCTCACTGCTGAGGGGCAACTGCTTTTAGCTGTTTATTTTTCAGTGGGAACTGAACAGGACAGCCATTCAAAAGAAAATGAGCCTCTGTAAATGGCACGTGGCCACCATACCTTGCAAGCCACCCATGTAGGCTTTCTGCTGAGAAGTGCTTGCTTTGACAGCTAAAACTGGAATGATATGGAGAAGATTAGCATGGCCCCTGTGCAAGGACAACATGCAAATTTGTGATGCATTCCATATCTTTTTCTGAGAATTCGTATAGTGGTTAGAGTGTTGGACTGGGGACTAGAAGATCTGAGCTCTAGTCCCCACTTGGCTATGAAGCTCACTGGGTGACTTTGGGCTAGCCAATGACACTTAGTCCAGCCTAATTCACAGGGTTATTGTGCAGATAATATGGAGCTGTGGAAGCCACCTCACCCTCCTCCCAAAAAGATAAAAGGCAGGACGTAAATGCAGTGTAATAACATAATTCCTTAACAGTGAACACCAATGTTTGTTTTCTCTCAAAGCGGATCATCCAAGTAGAGGGTGATACCTTTGTTTTAGGAAAGAACCTGCTAGGGACCCCTAAAGCCGCAATCTACACTGAGGTCTACACGGAGCACCAAACCATATCTGGATTGTTCCTCCTCAGCTGCTCCTCTTTCAAAATAAAGGAAAGCAGGTTAAACCACTTAGTTTAAACACAGGACTGATGTAGTTTGGTCCTGAGTGTGTCCCAAGCAGTAGAGTGCGTCTGTCTGGTAGCTTAGCACAGAAGTGTCAAAACTCGTGCTTGACAAAAAATGAAGAGTAACAGGACTGGGAACTTGCTTAGTTGCTGCTACATTCTAAGGGATGGTTACATCATGCTGAAACATTTTCTGTACCTCTTATTCTTCTTGACCCATGTCAACACATGGTACAAAGCAGGAGAGAGGCCCTTTTAAAAACTGCACTGTAGTATCTTATGGCCACAAAACAAGCATGTTGGTGAACCTCCTTCCACAGCAACCTTAAACACAATTATGCTATAGGAACTGTAATATTAGAAAGGTGTTGAAACTGATGGGGATTAAAGTGTCCCAACTTATCAGCTTCTAGCTCCTTGCAGAGCTTCTGTCTGCAAACATGAAGAGAGGACATAAAATCCAGGAGCTGCCATCCTGACACCTAAAATGCAAAAAAGCGTAAACTTCATTTGTGTCCCCAAGATGCTGGATCTAGTAACATTTCCCCCAATCTCAAGGTACTAGTTATAATGATTGGAATAAACTGAAATTGAGTAAGAGATCATGTAGAAGAAAATGAGTTTCTTAGCCTCGAATCCCAATCACTAAAATATTAACCTGGTATGACTGCAGCCTTTGTACCCTGAACCTCTTGATCGGCATTCCAGTACCATCAGTGGAACTGTGCCTGTTTCTAGGTGACTCTAAGTTACTAGTGATAAGCCAACCCTGTGCTGCTGCTGTAGCATAAGGCAAGAAGAAAAGTAAAGTGAAAACTTTAGAACATACCCCAGAAGTATCTTCTAAAAACCAGAAGACTAGCATTTCTGCTGCCACCACCTGTCTTGAACCTGAACAACAGCAGAGCAGATCAAAGCCCTCTGTCATCTATTATGTCCCTTACTCAGTAGGCATGGATGAGAGGGTACCGGTTGCCTTGCCGCCTTTGCTCTTTCAATGTTATGGAACAGAATAAGAATCAATAACAACAAGTGTTATGCACTGTTAAGTGACCTGTTATGCCTGATGCAGTTTCTGAATAGTCATATTGGGCTAGACATTTAATGACATAGGAAAAATGAAACTGGATGGTGGATTCAACTGGCTGAATGGAGCAGCATGCTACAGTGTAGATAAAATACTTAGAAATCCAGCCTTATCTCAACTAGAAATTCCAGATGGAGCTCAGGAAAAGCAACTCTGGTAACATGATTCAGCGATTAGCATTAAAGACCTGACAAATGTCTGCACGTGGAATGAAGGCTGGGTTTGGTGCACAAGGAGTAGGCATCTAAAAGGTGTTCTAAACATTTGCAGCATGGCTGCCTGGAGAATGCTGGGAGTTGAAGTCCAATATCTCTAAAGGCTGGTGTAGCTTTGCAGGGACTGCAGCAGTAGGAGTCTAACCCATTGACTGTTCTAATGCTCTCCCGTAATGCCAACAAAAGTCCATTGGCTTCTCAGTCAAGCAAGCTATACATGAAAGCACTCATAGTGCAAATGCCGGTTTGATTTTGGAAGTGGTGTAGCCTCATAGGACTGTACCGTCTTGTTCTGCATATGTGTACACGCCTAGACTTTGGAGTAATGGTACCTGTGACATGAGAGTAAAGCAATTTACAAAGCATGAGTAAATGAACAGATGACGTTCTAGAGAACTTGAATTCAGGCTTTTAAATGTAGTGGGACAAAGCTGGAATGAGAACCCTATACAAATGGGCCATGCACAAGCCATAGCTACTTATACAAAAGTTATCACATAAGGCATCCAACTGGTTAATATCTAATCTGTAGCAGGTACCTGTACCTCAAGTAACTTATTGTAAAGTAGAGCCTCTAAATTACTGTAAACCAAGAAGATGATAGTTTTCAATTCATAACAGACAGTTGCCAGTATGGGGATTAAGCTAATCGAGAGTATGACTGTAGGGGCAGCGGGGTGAAGAGACAGCAGCACTAGCTTGATCCATACCGCTGACACATCCCTATGTGAGCTAATGCCAAATTAAAGGTACATTCGAGCATATATTTTGTGGAATTTTCTTCTTAAACATCTCTGCCGCTGACTGCTTGGGCAAATAGACTAAGTAGCAGAGATCTGGCCTGAAAGTTCTTCATTTTGAGCAAAAGCCTTCACTTGATCTCAAAATTGCCTGGCTTGTGGGTGGGGAGTCTAAGAAAACCTCCTGGGATCAGGGTGGGGAGGTAGACTCAACATACTCATCCCAGTCTGACACCTGCTTGTCCCCTTCCACCAAATCCAAATTCTTCCATAGTTAGGAGCCATGGATTGAATCTGCCCATGAAATCTAATTGTCCACAGGGAATAATTGTTTCAATGGATACAAACAGCATTCTAGGCAGAGTTTCACAGAGAAGTTGGCTAGGTAGTATGCAAAGATATTTGTGACTAACAGTGATGTTGCAGAGCAAAGGTTTGCAGGGATGCTGTGCCAGTGCTTTTTGTTAGCCATTTAGTTATTTATTAGGGATGTTACCTGTCACCTCTTAGATTCCCATTCCCCATTGAGCTTGGCTGTAGATCTCACAGTAGCTAGAGAAAAAATTTTCCCAACAACATATTGTGCCCTATTGCAGTACAGGTGCCAGTTGGTGCCAGGCAAATATGACAGACTGGCTTGGCATTAAATAGCTTTCTATACCCCTTCCTGTTAAGCTCTGCATTTGAATTCCTAAAGCAAGGGCAAGCAACTTTTGCATGCTCCCAGTGCTTTGGGCTACAACACCTGTGATCCTTGACATCAGCCATGCTTGTTGGGGCTGATGGAAGTTGTAGTCTAAAATATCTGGAGGGCAGCAGGTTGCCTGGCTGGGTTTAAGGCAATGCCAGAATATCTGAGAACTTAGATTATCCCAACTTTCTCTCCTGAAGGCCAACATAGTATGTTTGTTCACTGAGGATTGCTAACTGGGTTCCAGTTGTGTTATCAAGTGCAAGCATTTCCTCCTGGAGTTGAGGCTGGCTTCTCACTATGTCGAGCGAAGCAGAAACAGCGAGTGTCAACAGTCAGCCTGCCCAGCAACAGACACCTCTAAAAGTGCAACCTTCCAAAAAGGAGAAGAAGAAAGGTAAGCTCTGATATAAGTGAATCAGGAGGCAGGCCAGCCATGCAGCTCAAACACTTGCCACATAGCCTGAAACAGGTGCGAGGAACTGCTTTCAGTCTGAGGGCCAAACTCAGTTTTAGAGAAGCTCTCAAAGACCTCATTCCAGTGGTGGGAAGGGCTGAAGGCGAAGGGGACAAGGCCAAAACACACCAAAACCCAGCATTATCTTAGTTTAAAAGCTGCTACCTCCAGTAAATAATCCTCACAAACCTTGTAACCTTTTTAAAAGGGGGTGGGGACTGCAGAAGCTGGAAAACAGCCAACCAGTTGGTGGTGAGAAGACAGATGGTGGGGTCAGCTTGACCTCCCAGGAGGGCCAGCTGTGGTCCACAGGCCTGAGGTTCCCCACTCCTGGTCTAAAAGTTGCTGAAAATGGACAGCACCTGCTGTTGGTCCAGTAAGCAACTAGGTTTGAAACTAGTCCCAAAATTGCTGGCTGAAAATCTGACCAGTTATTCCTCTTTCCTTTTTGGGATATTAAAATATGTAAAGATGTAGTATGTATGTTTTCCTACCTTTCCAATTAGGTGCTTAAAATTATGTTAATATACCATCAAGCCAATCCCAGTAGGAAAAGCAGACCAGCCTGAAACTGGGAGTAGGCTGCCACCTCTGGGCCTTGCCATAGATTGCACAGTTGCAAACGAATCTGCTGTGGAGCAAATTCTGGGCAGGAATCGGCAGCAAATCCTGCCTCTGCACCTTTTAATGGTGCACATCTAAAACTTGTGTGGGTGAATTCACCCTTTGAGCTCTTCCACACAGAATTCTGCATGAGTGCTGCAGTCTGTGGGTGAAAGCTTCTGAATGTTTGATCGCTGTGGCAGATGGAAAACATGCCTGAATGAGGAGTACCCAAATGCAGGGAAATGGACGTGATTAAATGCACCCTTTGGAATGAACAGAGATGCAGACCGTGATATTTACAGCCCAGAAAAAGTTGCATGTCTTAAACTGGTTTTTCAGGTGTGGAGAAGACAGAAGAATTCCTTTTGGCCAGATTTCAAGGTGATGGTGTAAGATACAAAGCCAAACTGATTGGAATTGATGATGTTCCAGAAGCAAGGGGAGATAAGATGAGCCAAGACTCAATGATGAAACTAAAGGTGAGTCTGTCTTGGGCCTTAAAGAAGCAGTAAGTGGGATGAGAGAGCTATTGGGGCTTAGGGGCTGATAATGGCTGTCCTGATATCCTTGCAAAACTAGTTCCCAGAGTTCTTCAGGATCATTATACTTCCCTTAAACTGGAAAATAACCCAATACCCTTTAAGCACCTTATATTGCAAATCCAAATAACAGGAAAATGTTTAGAAGCTGCATAGTGGGAGAATCTGGCATGGAAGCATTGCCAGAACAATGAAAGCTAAACATTCCTGGTTATCTTGAGGCTCAGGCATGTTTGTATGAATTCTGTATAGTTATTTGCCACACACACAGCTCAGGGGCAGGCAACTCTTTCGGCCTGCCCCTACCAACTTGGGACAGATGGTTCCAAGAAGTAGGAGCTCCTCTCCATCTGGCTTCAGCCTGCCCATGTTTCCGTTTTCCATGCAGGGAGAGGTGTGGAGTTCTATGGCTTCTTTGGGTGGAGAAAGGCACTTAACTAGTGTGTACATTTGGGCTCCTCCTTTCCACACCACTTGCATCCCAATTGAGGCACAAGCAATGCAATTCAGTTGCTGCTCGCAGGACCAGCTTCAAACTGGAGCTATCATGTGGAATCCTCTTCCTACCTCCTCTCCAAGCCCCGAGAAGCTTGCAAGTCAGGAGTGGGGCTTGAGGAATAGAAACGAGAGGATGCCAACCCTCCACATGCCCATTGCCAACGTTTATGAGCCAGACGTAGGCTTCTGCGCCAGGACTTCCCTGCCCTTGATTTAACTAATGGGCCCCAAGTGTATATTTGTTATCACCACATCCAGAACCCCTTAGCTGAGAAGTGACTGTTCATCGCACTGCTATCTTGCAGGATCAGAATTCCAAGGTCAAGCATTATGCTTAAATGCAAGTGAATGACCTCCTAGAAACTAGGATGCAGTTATGAGGATCCTGTTGGGAGCATGGTGGTTGAATTTCTAAACCATTCACCTGTTTTCCTGGCCATCACAAGGTGGAATGCTGCTGAATTCTTGTAAAAAAAGAGCCACTCACTCATGTAATCTGTCTTAAATGGACAATTGGCTGGGTTCAAACAAACAAACATGAAAACCTCCACTCAGAAGTTGAGTATGGGTTGAATATGGATTGTCACTGGACCATGGGTGGTTGTTCTAACACTGGTTATCGTTTTTTTACAAACCCTACTGCGATAACAAACAATGGTGAACTATCCACAGTTCACAGCCCAACAAACCCTCTCCGTGGGTTGTTTGTGGTTAATAAGATGGCTTGGCTGGGTTTAAGCAAACACAATAAGCCATGGTTCACCATTGACCCACACGCAAACCTTGACTTGGGTTATTGTGTTATCTGATCCCAATCATTGAGAGGGTGTTAGGAGGCAACACATGGCTGTCTCTTGTTTCAGAATATTGCCTATTGATAATCCTTAACTGATCAAGCTGAAGTTTACTATGGTGAACATATTTGCTGCAGCAGTGAAAGACTGCATTCATATTGGCTTTCCATTTGTAGGGAATGGCTGTAGCAGCCCGCTCTCAAGGACAACACAAGCAAAAGATATGGGTGAATATCTCTCTTGCTGGGATCAAAATCATAGATGAGAAGACGGGGGTAAGTTCTCAGGTTAGGCTCTTTCATCTAGGTCAAGTAGAGCTTGCTTAGAAAACCGCTAGCGCTCTCTGAACACGAGAAATGCCAATATATAACATAAGCCTTCTAAACTTGGACTTAACTAATAAGGAACACCTCCTACTGGAGTCACTTCAAAGAAATGCCTCAACTACATTGGTCCAAACAAGTTAATTATCCATCTAGGTGACGGATCATCTATAAGCAGTCCCAAACCAAACTTGGAGTCTGCTGCAGTTGCTCTAGTGCCTCTTGGTATGCCTCGTGGATCATTCCAGCCCTGTGCATTGCCTCTGTCCTTGTTTGAATTCTACACCACCCCGTGGACAAAGCTTTCTGGTTAGTATAGCAACATGATAAAACATAGTACATAAAAAGATAACATACAATAAAAATGTAATAAAATTGGGAAAAACATTAACACTTTAAACAGCTAAAACAGATAATAAAAAGACAGTAACAAGGAATAACAAGAGAAAGAGACCCTACGAAATGTCTGGTGAGCCTCCACAACCCCCTGGATGGCCAAGAAAGCCTTTAAAACGCCCCTGGAAAGAGGAATGTCTTAACTTGGTGTTGAAGAAAAACTCAGATTCAGCATCAGCCAGAATGAAGTGGCTTATTCCATAGATGGGGAACTACCACCAGGAAAGCCCTCCCTCTTGTTGCCACCCTCTACATTTCCCTTCGTGTTGGCACTCAGAGGAAGTGTTCAAGCAGATTGCCGATACCTTCAAATGGCAAGGAAGAAATTAATGTTGTTGATTCAAAAAGCAAAGCAATTGAAAGTCTTCTAATCAGTATGTTCTTGTGTGTGTGTACACACACACATACACCCCTCTCTTAGCATTCCCTATAAGCTAGGAAGAAATTACCCTGTTGCACGATGCTTCTGGCAATCTTTTTATTGCCTGTAAAATCTTTCAAGTTTTAAGATAGAAACATAGAAACAGAGTGAGTCAGAAGGGGTTTCCCAGGCCATCTAGTCTGACCCCTGGTCCAGCCAGCTTTGCTCATGGCATGCCTACCATGTGCATGTCCAGCCTATCCTTGAACACCCTCACCGATGGGGCTTCAGCCACCTCCCATGGAAACCCATTCCTTACCCTTATGATCAGTTGTGTGCCTTCACAGGAAACCTAAATTCTGTAGCCCTTACCACCAAAGCCCACATTGTCTATAATGCACTGTGAATACCTATGCCAAAGCAAACGAGGTGAGCAGTTTTCCAGATGAGGAAAGTCAAAATTCATTGCATTCTAAAGTCTGTGAACAATTACAGGTGATCTGCAAACTGTTCAAATTGCTTGGATCTGAGTTTTGATAATCTGTCAAGGAGTAGGCAATTTGTGGCTTCTTGGATGCTGGTCCAGGACTCTCCACCATCAGCTGTGCTGACTAAGGCTGATGGGAATTGTGTAGGTGTTCTCTGTACATTACACTTTTGCAGAACTAAAAGTGCCCTCCATTCTGATTCTAGGTTATTGAGCATGAACACCCAGTCAACAAAATCTCCTTTATTGCTCGGGATGTGACTGACAACCGTGCCTTTGGCTATGTTTGTGGAGGAGAAGGGCAGCATCAGTTCTTTGCCATCAAAACAGCACAGCAGGTAAACTTCTGCAACGGAACTTACTTGGGACCAGAGATGCTGACGTACTATAAACTAAAATTATAGCATTCTGGGTTGATAGAAGCCAAATCATACAAGCTCAGTGCTGAGCAAAAAAAAAAAAAAATGAAACATAGATGTTTTAGCATTGGTCTACCTGATTTGGTTCCCTTCATGGGCTGGGTTCTGTTAGAGACAAGTAGAAGGGGGCAGGATGGAATTCACTACATGTCTAATGGACTAAACAGGTTGCAGAAATTTAGAGCAAGTCCCACTCATGAAAGTGCTAATAAAACCCTTGAAATTGCATTCTTTGCCTTAAAAATCATGGTCTCTAAAGCAATGTAAGTTTAAAAGAGAAACCAGCCTGGCCTAAATCATGGCATGGGATTAGAAATGGTGCATTAATGTTAAGGCCCCTTCCCTGCTACCGAAATGATTTTCTAAAGTCAGAGCAGCGGGATCATCTTCAGTGCACAATGAGCTCCAGGGCACTGCTGCAGAGAGAACACAGCCTATCTAGCCCTGCATCTAGTTGTGTGAACAAGAACGGCATTTTCCAGGTTGATTTAAAAGTGCAGTATTACACAGAGGAGAGGATACTGGTGTAAAAACATACTCAGTGTTGCAAAATCAGTGAGTCTGTCTTCACACATTTCCTGACCTTCAAAGGGTCTGCCCACCTTTTAAGCCCACAAATGAGGACTGGATCTTCTGGAACTCAGTTGGTTCCAGCTTTGTGTTTGCTTAACATCTAGCACTTGCAGATGCCCTTGCATTCAATTTATTTACAGTATGTTTGATTTGGTTGAATCCAAAATAAGTTAGGGAACAAATCTATGTATTCATACAAAGTCCTATGACTCCCAGAATTTCCCAGCAAGCATGGGAGTTTGCAGGGTATTTCCTGTCTAAACAGACACAGGAAGGCACCCCTAATCACCCTTATAGATTCCGTATAGCCTGAAATGCCTGATATCGCCTAATCTTGGAACCTAAGCTCGGTAAGCCCTGGTTAAAATCTGGATGGGAGACTTGAGCAGCGGCTTGGACCCAGCGGTCTTCACGGTATGATTTCATGAATTCACAATTTCTGTACCTAAACGGAACCAGGATTCAGGAAACCATCAAAACTGACAGGTTTTCAGAGTTTCAGCACAGTTCATAATAAAATGCAAACATCTGAAACAAACGTGCATACTATAAAAATACATACAAAAACTGTATATCTAGAAAAACTCACTCAAATGCCTGCAGAAATGCATGCATTTTAAAAATGTAAAAATGCATACAACTGGGCATTTTTAAGAAAGGCATATTAAAATGATTTAATGAATGTTTATGCAGACTTTAAGCAAATACAATCCGATTTAGAAAAAAGTAACAAATTCAGTAGTGGAAAAATGAATACCTGCTAAAACTAAGCTTGACACATTCAGCCATTGATTGCTACTAATGTGGTCTGATTCAACTTACTGATCCAGTGGTCAGTAGTGCTTTTTATGCATGTCCTATATATTTCCACAGCGCTTAGAGAACACAACGCTTGAGAATAAGAGCTGTATATATCTACATACAGCCGGGTGAGGTGGGTGTCTGACACCTCCAAGATCATGTGTGGGCAGACTTTCCTGAAAAGGATCTAAGATAGAACAAGAACTTTGTCCCTGGATCCTAGAGTGAACAAGGCTGCTTCTCTCTTATCCGCTTTAGCCAATTAGCATGAAAGGGAGAAATGCTGGGAAATGCCCAAGCCATTCCACTGGGTTGCACAGGCTAGCCTGTCCCTAAGGAGATTCCACCATTTGGATTTAATCTGTTTACTTAGTTGCATGACATCTATTTATCTCCAACCTATGGTGACCTTATGAATGAATACCTTCCAAGATGGCCTGTCCTGGACAGTTTTGCTCTCTTGCAGACTAAAGGTTGCTTTTAGGGAATTGGTCCATCACATAGTTGGTGGCCTTCTGCCTTTAACCTTCCTTAGTATTAGTGTTTTCATCAGTGGGTCTTGTCTTCTCATGATGTGCCCAAAGTACAACAGCTGTTCTGTTTACTGCTTAATTTAAATGATAGGAATTGCAAGCTTGTTGGCCCAAGCAGTTCAAGCAGTTTGGGCTATTCCTGCTTAAAAACAACAACAACAACTAACTCCACCCTGCTTTCTTCCTAGGCTGAACCACTAGTTGTAGATCTTAAGGATCTGTTCCAAGTAATCTATAACATCAAGAAAAAAGAAGAGGATGACAAGAGAAAGGTAATGCTACTTAATGTTGCAGCTCTTCAGATTTTAAGCTCCCCAATAGTTGTAGACGAGGAATTGATTAAAGTTATGGTTCACCCAGCCTTACTGATCCTGGTGAAATGGTCTTAAAGCCAAGACAAGTCCATACACCTGTAACTGAGGTGCTTGAGTAACCTGGACCCCAACAGTTTGGGGCTTCGAGGACCGACTCTAAGTTGGGTCAGTCAGGAATGCACTGACTTCCAGTGCAGCTGGTGCAGAAATGGTGCAGTGCAATTGGACCATCTAATCTCCACAAGGATGCATTTTGTGTCAGCTGGAGCTTCCAAAGATCAGACAAGGCCGACAGGAGTCTGTTGAAACTTGATGCTACCAATTATTTCTGAAGCAATCCTCTCAGTAAGGAGAAATGTAAGATGACGTGTATCATTCTTCTTGATGGCAGGTACCACAGCTCACTGGTAGGGACCACCAAGAAGGTCCCAGGCCACTCTAGTTCTTTAAAAAGAGAAGCCAGGTTAGCAGGTGATGGAAAAGTCCTCTGGAGTGACCTTCTGTCAGGCAACTTGCTAGGCAAGTTGTACAAAACAGCGGCATCTGCATACTGAAAGTGTAACTTGTTTTTTTCAGAATGAAGAGGCCAGTAAAACCTGTGAGGTAAGGAACTTCTTCAGACCCAAAAGCCTGGGTGAGTGGTGCACTTCTCATGCAATTGCTGCTGTCCAGCAAAATGAAGTGAGATCTCCATACACAAGTTCACAGCACTTGATCATCTATCCTGACTTTGACTTTGCTTTGTTTCAGAATGGCGGTGATGAAGCAACTACTGATCAAGCTGGCAAGATCAAGCTGGTACGTGGAACTCTCTGCCCGGAATAGCCAGTTAGCAGGCTCCTGAACAGTAGTGGAGCCAAACTTAGAGCACATGATTGGAGCACATCCAGCTACACACACGCGCCAAGATCTGCTGGACGCTTTTGCATGCACAGTGCAGCTCCGGTGGCCTTGTCTGTTGCAATCATAATTCTTGCAAATTTACTTTTAAAGGGTGTTGAGCAGATGGATCTGTTTGGAGACATGTCCACTCCTCCTGACCTGAACAGCCCCACAGTGAGTAGTAATAACTTATTTGATGTGTTCAGAGTTGGCATCAATTGAATCAGGGTCTACAGGTAGCTCTGAGAGATTTGTACCCTATTGGGAGTGGTACAAAGACACAACTGACTCCCAACTGTGTGGCAACAACAACATTTTTCTTCTTTACTTAAGCTGCTGGAAAAAAGACCTGGGGGCTGCAATAGGAGCAGGTTAGTGTGTATGTGAGTGTTTTTCCTACTAGCTCTGTTTCTGGAGCTGAAAACAAAGTCATGCTCTGAGCATGTGCCTGGAGGCACCTTATTTTGCTGTTTTGTGTCTGACTTCCTGAGCCACTATTCTAGACTTGGCTTCAGCTGGTGGACCTTGGGCTTCTAGTGAACAGCAGAGGACATCTTTAAGGCCTAGTCTTCCTTCTGTTAAATGACTTCAAGAGCAGGAATCTTTAAGAACTTGTTCATACATGGTGTCTAGGATAGAGTCAGATGAGTACTCATATGGAGGAAGCTTCCCTTGTATGCACATGAAATTGCATATTTCATTAGGAGACAGAGTACCCAGAGGAGGGCCTTCTCTGCGGTGGCGCCCCATCTATGGAATGCGCTCTCCAGAGAGGTTTGCCTAGCGCCAGCATGTTTTTTGGCACCAGGTTAAGACCTTTTTATTAATCAATATTTTAACAAGTTTTAATACTGAATTTTTATTACCGCACTCTAATTTGCAGCCAGAGTGGGTTGTCTATTTATATTATATTGTTTATGTACTTCAGAATTTTATTTGTGTAAGCCGTCCTGAGGCTCTTGCAAAGGATGGCATACAAATAACTTAAATAAATAAATTTGCTCCATTTCTACCTATTATAAGGTTCTCAGTGGTGGGTTCTGGAAGTAACATTTATCCCTAGTTTAGTGGGCAATGATATGCTTTCAGTATTGAGGGGTTGTAGCTGGCATTTCTGGTGGCAGTCATCAAAGGTCCCAGAGTAGTTTTACAGTACAGATGGACCCCTGCACTTCTGAGCTGGTGCCAGACATCTTATGCATGGTTGAATCAAACAGCAGTTGGTATGGAAGTAGATGTGGGAGTTCAACATGCTTCTGGAGAGCACCACTAGTAAGGATGAAGAAGGCAGCTTGTAGTGGACAACAGGGAGAACCCAAGTCAGATCCATAGGAAGGTGGCCTGATTTGCCAGCCAGCTTGCAATTCTTGGGCAAACACTGTTGCCCCCAGTAGGCCACCAGAGTTGTTTCAAGAAAGGCTATGCACATAACCATTATTCTAGACCTGCTAAATGAATGCCCCTAATCTGTGTAACTCACAATTAATAGTATGCAGATTATACAATAAACTTTTCTGTAGGATAGGGTTGTTGGCCCTCTTTCAACCCAAGGGCTTAATCCAATTTTGGAGAAGTTCTTGGAGGCCACAGACTTGTGGGACGCAGGTATAAACAGGGAGGCCAAAATACCAAACATGCCAGCAAGTTTCCCATACTGTCAATAACTTAAGTCTTAAGGGAGATGTTTCATCCTGTCAGAATGAGGGAAAATCTGTTCGGAGGTCACCAACCTCCGAACAGTCAGAATACAAAGTAAAGGCATTGGGATCATGGAAATGGGTTCTGGCCATCAAGAGAATCCTGGACAGCCAAATTGGCGAGCCATATTTTGCCTGAGGTCAAATATAGCTGGTATACTGCAGCAGTCAGGAATGGCAAAATGCATCCAGATGCTAGATATCCATTTTAAAGTGGGGGGAAATATCATTGCAAACCTGCTTGCTCATGATTTCAATCAATCAGCACATGAGACTACTTGCACATGTCTGAATGATGCTTCTACTAATCTCTCTTCTTTCCCAAACCTAATAGGAGGAGAATAAAGAGATCCTGTTAGTGGATTTAAACTCTGAAATTGAGGTCCTTCCGGCTTCTGTCAAGGGGGAGGATCTTTTCTTGAATGACATCACACCTTCCCTACCAATGCCAAAGCCGCAGCCACCTTTCTTGCCTGAAAATGCTTTCTCTGCAAACCTCAGCTTCTTTCCTACCCCCAATCCTGACCCTTTCCGTGATGACCCTTTCACGCAACCTGACCAATTGGCACAGCCCCCACTTGATTCTTCTCTCCCATCTGCCAAACAGAAGATGGGAAGCGTGACTAGCCCCCCCATGGGGAACAGCGGGGTGAATGGGGATGTAGACTACTTTGGGAAACAGTTTGACCAGATTTCCAACCGGACTGGCAAGCAGGAAATGCAGACCGGCCAGTGGCCACCTGAGAGTAAGCCAGTGCCACTAGCAGGGACGACTCCAAATGGAGTACCAGAGAGAGAACAGAATGGGTTTGCTGCCAAATCCCCACTCAATGTCTTCATGGAGAGCTCTTCCAAAGGACTTCCCGTGCAAAATGGATTACGGCTAGACTCCGAGAGCAACATCTCACATGACTCTATAACGATTAGCCCACCTCCACAAAGTACCAAGCCAGGAAGAGGAAGAAGGACTGTTAAGGTGAACGTTGGTGCATGCACGAAGTGGTGACATGCATGTTTTCTACTTGGACTAGGTGAAGGGATTTCCCTCCCTGCTCAACAACAGCTCTGCTGGCAGAGAAATACTTGCATCCTGTCCTGTAAAATGATAGGCTCCAGCTACTGTAAACCTTTCTCTGTGGCTTTCACATTCTGTGTCCATCCATAGTCATTCTTTCTAACCTTAATTCTCTCTCTCCTAATGCTGCCATGTCTCTGTCACTCTGGTAAGTAAGATGCTTTAACTCGTCATGCTGTACTGAATACGATTACATTGCATTTATGTTCCACCCTTTTTTCCTCTTGTGAGGGACTCAAGGCAGCTTGCAAAGCTCCATTTTATTCTCACAACCCTGTGAGGTAGGTCAGGCTATGAGTCAAGGACAGTGAATGCATGGCTGAGTGGGGACTAGAACCCAAACATGAAGCAAATGTTTTATTCTAGTTCAGGAACCCAAAACCAGAAAGGGGGGATTAACTTGAGCACTTCATATGAAAGAACAGGAAGGGTCATCTCCTTGTGCAACGTTCCACAGCATGGTAGACCTCAGAAGCTAGGAAATAAGATCAAGGAGCAATTGGCATACTGGGGGTCCTGCTGTGCAAACCCATGTAATGGTTCCCCAAAGCAACACCCTGTCCTGGTAATTGCTGTACAGGCCTAACACAAACACAAGACAAACGCATTTTTTTCCATGAGCACAGACTCAACTATAGACTTCAGTGCAATTGAAGGGATTTTTAATGGATTAAAAATATATATTCCATCCTTCTGGTAATGTCTGTAAGCATAAAATGTTAGACATTTCCAGAATAAATTGCTTATAATAGATATAGCAGAGACATCAAACAAAAATGTAGCTATATGAGAAAGCAAAAGCCTGCCTAATTGTTTCAGCTCAGTGTCATAAGACAGGGTAAGGTGAGCTCCAAAGGTAACCTGAAAGTGAGCCGTTTAGAGAGTAATAATCACCACCACACCAGCTGAAGATCACACCACATCGCACAGCAGAACCAAAATGGTCATTAATACATTTATTGCAGGCAGGTCTAATATGCTCATCTAAGGGACCACTCAGTAGCATTCTCATTGTTGTGTTCTAAACCATCCCAAAGACTCTTCAAAGATAGACCCAAGTCAATTGTGCTGCTTTAATGTAGTCTAGATAAATTTGAGGCATGTGTCACTATGGTCAGATCAGACCTCATCAAGAACTGATGCAGCTCTTGCACCTGCCTAAACTGGGCAAAGGCATACAGGTGCAACGTGGGGTCCAGAAGTGTCCCAAACTGCATACCAGATCCTTCAAGGGGAATATGACTGCATCCAAAGCCGTCTGAATTTCTGCTCTGGAATCTGTCTCCTGACCAGAAGTATCTTTAGTCAGTCTGCAAAGTTAGCTCTTTTATCCCAGCTCAGCTTTTTAGAATCTGTGTTGTCCAAACACTACAGCAGTTTGCAGACAGGTGATAGTGGCATGTAAGCACCTTGATCCCAGGTAATGTTGAATGTCCTGAACAAAAGCAAGCATTCTGATCATCTCTCTCTCTCTGTCTCTCTCTTTTCCAGAGCACAAGTAATGATTTGTTTGGCTCAGATATATTTGCTCCTGGACAGAATGCAACAGGTACACTGACTTCTGCACAGCAGCCATCACCTGTACAAACCAGTCCTCTAGACCTTTTCAAGGCCAGTGTTCCCACGTCAGCTTCCATGCCTGTACTGGGTTAGTAAAGATGGCTTTTGAAGCCATTGATGTGAAATGTGACTTTGGGGGATCACCTGAGTTACAGGGCTGGCTGTCTATATAAATTGCTTTATTCATTTAAATGAATAAACCCCAGATCTGCTACACCACAAAAAATGTCTTGGCAGGTTAGGGAAAGATGCTTAACTGGCTCTATTCCTATACATCCAGAAAGGCTGTCTGGCACAGAGGCAAGCCTCACCTCTACACTCCTTCCTTCCTTCCGTGCTCTTTCAAGTCAGAAGGGCTATGAGCAACCCAACTGGATTGTGCTGTGAAGTAAATGCACACTTCTATGGCATTTTGAGAAAGCATGATTGCAGATAGAGCAGGCTTCCTGATGAACATAGACACACATGCCTAGCACGGAGTACATCAGTGCCCTCGGTGCTGAACAATATAAAGTAATTTGTCACTTTAAGTCAGATAGCTCCAGTGCTTGGCTGAAGAATAAACAGTGAAAGAAAGGACCAAACCCCTGCTGCTACTGTTGTTATCTTATTTATTCTTTCATTCTTATCCCAACAGCCTTAGGCTAAGAGTTAGTGGCTGGCCCAGAGTCACCCAGTGAGCTTCATGGTCTGGGAAGACTAGGCTCCATATCTCCTATGTCCAAATTCAACACCTGGCCACACATACTGGCTCTCCAGGTCATTGACTATATCTTTAGGGAGAAGAACACAAAACTGAGTAAGCCAAAACCTCCCAAGGGCCACAGGTTGTCTATCTCAGACATAAGGAGTGTGCAGCTATTGAGAAGGCAGCAGTCCATGTTTCATTTCAACAGTTTGTCACACCGCTGTTCTTCTGTAGAATGCTTGTTCAAGTTTGCAGAGAATGGATCTTGAGCAACCTCACCAAAAAAAGAATTTGCCGAGAGGCAGGAAGAGGGTGTGCAGAAGCAACTCACTTGTGCATCATTGTCAAGAACCACGTTGCTAAAGGAGAGCTATTACATTTGTCTTTTTAGGGTGCAATCCTAATGCATATTTAGTCAGGAAAAACAAGTTCTGCAACCATGGCTGGCTGGGGAATTCTGGGAGTTGTAGGGCGCTCTCGCTCTAAATGTCTGTATATGCATAGGATTGCTGTTATGCTGAATGTTACAAGTCAGATTAAGCATGGTGCTGAAGAGCACTGTTAGATGCATTTGAGATGTAGCAAGACAAAAATGAATTTGATCCCCTGCCCCAGCACTGAAAACACTAAAATACAAATCCTCCAGGCAATAATATTGGACCTTCTTAGAGTCATGAAACTATAGAAAACCCAAGCTGGAAAAAAGTTGTGGGAGCAGGGGTGTGTTTAAATGTAAAAAGCAAAAATGGTGGGGGAATCGGGACTGAGTACACATCCATCCGGACTTTCAAATCCCTAGGCTTGTCACAGACTCATTAAGCAAATGCACAGGTAAATCTCTTGTTTAAAATGCAGGTAAACAGCATACTCTGTCTACCCATTCTTGGCATCTACAAGGCCAAGTTAAATCCTTGCCTTGAAAAAGTCCAGGGATAACTTCAGCACAATGCTTAATGTCCGTGTGGTCTCCCTGCCATTCCTTTCCAGGTGGTTTGCCTACTGCACCTTCCCCAACACCAGCTTGGGGCTCCCAACCTGCGGTCTTCGGCCAGTCACCTTCAGTCTTTCCTGGCTCTGTTTTGGGTGCCCGGTCTGCAAGCTTTACTCCACCTCTTGGTTTTGGTGCCACTCCGCAAGTTCCAAGCTGGAACCAGCCTGCTTCCTTGGGAGCACCATCCCAGCCTCCAGCCCCTGATCTCTGGGGTCAGCCTGCTAGTGTGTCTCCTCCTAACGCTTGGGCACAGCCGTCTTCCACTGGCAACCCCTTCCAGGTCAACCAGTTCCCATCAACACTGGCCACCCATCCTCCATCTGTGCTGTCCCCCATGTCATCTGCAAGTCCGCCGCCGCCTCAGCTCCCTCCCAGAACTGTGCCTCCAAAGGAGCTCACCAGGAAAGAGAGTGATGCCTTCACTGCTCTGGATCCACTTGGTGATAGAGAGATAAAGGATGTGAAAGAGATGTTCAAGGACTTCCAGCTGACAAAGCCGCCTGCCGTGCCTGCAAGGAGGGCAGAGCAGCAGCAAGGTCTGTTCAACAGTTCTGGAGCCTTTGATAGTTCCTTCAATAACCAAGTGGGGGTTCCCCGGGGTTTGGCTGACCAGGATAATTTTGAAGCTAGTTGGCTGCCTACAGAAATTGGTGGTAAACGGCTGTTCTCACTGAGGTATCTTAAATGGGTGCCTCTTTTCCTTCACCCATTTTGATGAACTAAAGGTAAATATCTGAGTGTACATGATGAGTAGCCGGCATAGTTTTCAAGGAAGAGAATATTCCTTAATGCCTTTTGATGGGAATACTTTGCTGACCTTCTTGATAGTTTAATCATGGCGGCCCCAGTCAACTCTCAGCTCAGCTGCAGATTTGCTGTGGAAGAGCTACTGGGTTTGTTCCAGACCCTTTGTTCTACCATCTAAAGGACACAATGTATGGATTTGGAATTCTGCATCCTGTTCCATCCTGCAGACCCCCGTGAGCCCTCCAGTCTTCTGCAGAGGGTTTCCTAAACCTTTAGAGCAGATCTAGAGCTACTTCTTTAAGAGGGTGGAGAAGGGCACCTCAGCAGATCTCCAGAAAGGTATCCAGGGATGCATGAATGCTTGCAGCTGTTGTGTTGCCTGCTGCTGGCATAACGTGTGTGATGTATGGGTATGCTCACTGGCACAATGTGGCCTTTTTGCTGCTTATAGTGGCCTTGAAATGGTAGCTTGATACATGTCATTTTGTACAACCTAGTACTGCCAAAGCCTGTTCCCAGGCACAATGCAGGACCGTTTACCAAACCTGCTGGAGACCGATTTGAGAATCCTTTTAAGATGGACCCTTTTGCTGCTCCCTCACAAAGTTCAGTAAGTATCTGAGCTCTGCTCATGCCTGGTTCCATCTTACGGGGCTGTCAGTGAGCTTGTTACAGTCAGCCATATGCCAATACTGTCCTACAACCCTATTCCTAGTGAAGTGAAAGAGCCTAAGAGTTATCCAAATACTGTGCTGACAGACATCACAATCTGTCAGTTTTCTGTCTTGGCCTTTTTCTTCCAACTTGGCTTGCATCTTCAAAGGGAATATGGCTAGCTGTGCTGACTAGCCTTGCCGGACAGACCATAAAATGTTGTTTCAATTGGTGAAACAATGGTATGCAAATTCTTCTTAAAAGCAGAGTGGTGCCCAAAATGTCTCTTACATTCCTTTTGATCATTCTCTGTCAGTCTGATAGAAAAGAAATTGCTTTTGAAGAGAAATTCAGTGATGGAAAGGTCTTCGAAGCAATTCTCGTGAGCTGGGTTTGGGTTTCCTGGTCTCACCTTAATTGGGAGGTCACAAAGAAGTGTGCAGATGTGTCCTGAGCCTGTCATTAGAATGAAGGGTATTCTCAAGCAATGAATCAGGGCCAGGCAATCTGTGTGTACAGCACTGATGCTCCTTCAGCACTGATGCAAGAGATGTTCTAGAATGTCGCTCCTGTTTGCAAAACACATGAGCATGTCCAATTTGCAAACAGCAGCATAATCCTCAGGAAATTTTCACAATGGTTTGCATTTGAAAGAACATACTACTTTCACACTTCTGCAAATGAATGCTTCCACACCTCTTCACTCCAAAATGCATTTTCATGCTTTAGCTCATGGGAAAAGTACACACTTGGAGTGCAGACTTAGAAAGCTATATACTTTATGGTCTAAGAAGTAAAAAAGAGGGTAGGGAATAGGGTGTCTTGGCTGGTCCTCATCTTGGACAAGAGGTGGGGGACTACATGGCGGGGTGGCTGGTGGGCAGCAGTACACAGGCTTCAGCAGAGGTAGGAGCAGGTGTACAGCTGCTGAGCAGCTGGAATGGGTTCAAATGCCTTTCTCGGGCCTCAGGTATTTTAAGTAACTTGGATATGTCAAGTTACAGTAAGAAATTTAAGCTAAATAATGTAACTCTATGGGGCCCACCTCATTTGCCTTTGGCTCCATATTACATCTAGGAGGCAGCCCCAAACAGCTGCTCTAAGAAGTTCAACACCCCTGTGATATAAGAAGGCCCCACACAGTTTCAAGCCATGCTAAAATAAAGACTAATTCATTCTCTCCCCTGTCTAGACTACAGCTCCACAAATGCTGTCTTCTGCTCCATTTGGCGACCCTTTTGGAAATCCCTTTGCATAGCCTTGATAGGTGAGTGGCTTTGAGTAGAGTGGCTGCCAGTCCTGATTCTGTTCCTCTTAAACTGGAAACTCCACAGCCAGAAAGCCAAATGTTCGCCTTTTAAAAGATTGAGCTGGGATACTGTGCAGATGGTTTGATTATTACGGGTTTCTTTACTGGAGTTATTTATTGAGTGTTCATGATTCTTCAACCTGCCTTAAAGTTTGTGGAGTCCTTTCACAAAGCTATGGCTATCTGGAGCCCTTCCTATGTTTTCCACCCTTTCTTTTTTCTTTCGTTTTAGAAAGGGAAGTCTCGTATTAAATTCTAAATTGTCCCAATCAAGGCAAAACCTTTCTGTGTTACCTCAGATCTGCTATAGTACAGCTGACCCCTACCTCCACCTTGTGGTTTCTTAGCAGAATACACAGAACAACAGAGAAATACAAATCCCAGGAAATATCCCCATGTAAAGCATGCCTTTTGCCTCTGGCAATGAAAATGGAAGAAGCCTCATTTAAAGAACTGGGTAAATCCCTGGGATAGGGAAATTCTATGTGTACTAAGTATCAGCTGCCCAGTTAAGCTTTCAGCCTTCAAGGTCAAAACAGAGGTGCCGAGGCAAGCCTTTAGATTCTGTATCTCAGTGGTGGCCTGGCTAGCCTGCAGCTATAATGCAGAATGTAGCAGAATTCTGGGTTCTCAGGAATAAGGCATGATTCTGAGTAACCAGGAAGTAAGCCACATGTAGCGGAAATGATTGGACAGCACGCACTGGCCACTGGTTGTGCCTAAAACCAAATCATGGACCTTCCCACTGCAATTAGTGTTTTGGGTCACTTTTCTGACTTGCCAGGGGAGAAACAAGCCCATGTTCCTGGATCTGCATATTACACTATAAAATACAAATCATGGCTGGACGGGAAGGTCTGGGGTTACTGCAGCAACTCCAGTTCTCAGGCAGCATGCGCCAGGACACGGCTTTATCCTGATAACACAGAATTGTGTTGCATTCTGCAATAATATTTATAATGCAAAAGGTGCAAAAGTGAGAATCAGTGCTACATGATCCTCCTCTTTGATATCTGAGTCATCACTTTGTCTGCATGTTTTCAATAGTCCATACAGTGAACTTCAAGACAACAGTGTTGTGTAGCCAGTCCTGGGATGGTGACACTCTCATTGTTCTTGACCAGAAGTGAGTGTAATCAACAAGGGAATTACTGGACTGCTATGACAAATTCCTGTCTTCACTCTGCATTATCTGCCTCATTCTTCATCCACATTTGGATTGCAGTTTATTCCAGGAAGTCCTTGGATTCCAGCTACCTGAAGCCAAGGAAGGAATTTGCTAGAGACCAAACTGGAACTGGTAGTGAACTTCTCCTCATATAGATTTCAGTATTTGAACACTCTGGTGTTTCCTAGTCCTTCACTCTCACTCCTGTCAAGGCTTGGAAGCACTTAACTGTAAAATGAACAAGAAACTAAAACCCTTCTACATGAAACTGCACGAGGTTTGATTCACCTTCACTCAAAGGAAAGAGGACCAGGATCTGAACTTTCACCTCTGGGTCACCTAGACCATAAAACGGTCAAGTACTCTTTAGATACTTCCTAGTCCTACTGCAAGCTTTTCAAAGTTCCAACACTCAATTTCCCTCCCACCTAGAATGTCAAGGTGAATGTCTGAATTACAAAATGGGCAAATACAAATGTGTTTGGTAAGTTCTGAACAGCTCTAATGACGACACAGTTAAATGGATCTTCAGATACTCTTGAAAATATCTTGTCCAGGATGGCTGAAATGACTTTAATGTTTTCTTCGCACATCTAGAGTTACTGAACTGGTCTCTAGCAAGATTCTTAGGTTCCTTAAGCAAACCAAGACTAAGAAAAAGATGCACACAGAAACAGCAAAGTGTTTCTGAAAAGGCTTGGTGAACATGTTATTAAACTAGAAAGCAATCAAACTTTAGGCAACACATTGCAATCTGGAAAATAGAAGTATGGTATGGTTGCAGTCATCTGCATAGTGATAATGTCCCATTTAAACGAAGGTCTTAAGAAACTAGGCAGAACGGATTCAAGAGCCAGGAGTGTCACTCCATAATGGCACTTACCAATACAAACTTGAAAGGATATCCATGTTTAGGTAAATGCAACGTTGGAGATCTGCTTACTAGAAAATTCTCAGTTTGCAGTGATCTGTTCTTCCAGCCTGTTATGAATTATGCTCTGTACATACTCTACAGCACTTTCCTGGAATGCGCAAAAAAAAGCTATCAATGTATATGTATTTGTCTCTGACTGGAAATGTAGGACTTTAGGGATTGCATTACACTGTAAAAAGCAGTTTGTCAAATGGTCTTGACAATTACATGTAACTTCATTTCAAGAGTGTATCTCTATAAATGAAAATACTTTAAGGTGAAATAGCCTCTTCACTTGCACAGGAGCGCACTGCTTGTACCTTGATCCTCTGCGTATCTATACTGATCTTCTGCATATCTGCTTAGTAACTGCAATGCAGTTCTGTCATCAAGGCAAGACTCTTGAGTCACCTGGAATGTCAGAAGGGCCTTGAAGCAACTCCATACCCTACCCTACCCCACCCTACCCCATTCACAACTTGGTTCTTAAGGCTACGTTGGGTGCCCTTGACAAAAAGGAAACAGCCAAAATAGTAGCAGGGGAAATTGTTCCTTTCGCAACTGCACACACGTTCCAAAGCACAACAGCAGAGAAAACATAGCCAATTATTGGCTAACTGAGTTTGTCCAACTGAGGGAAGCATAAAAAAACAAAGAGGGGAAAACATTCTTACCCCTCATGCAACTTTAGGAGAATAGTGGGCACTTAGTCATTATTGGGCAATAGGGAAAACAGACTTCGCCCCATACTACTTTCATGATAGGTACTCCTTAGAATATCCTACAATATGCAAGCTTCTATAGTGGAAGTAGGCAAGGCCGTTTAGCAAATAACAGGTAGGAGTTTGGTGGGGAGTCGTGTCCACACATGCAACCCACAGTCAGTATCATGGTTGTTACCAAGTATCCTTAAACACATGCATACCCATCCCAGCCTGCAGGTATAGCTAACACACAACTGCATGCCTTTCTGTGGTCCATCATCGCTCCCTCTGGTTTAGCTGCTGTAATAACACCTCCCACATCAGAGGCAGCATGGCTGGGTTCTTTGGGCAGCGGCTTGCCCACATGGTGACCTGAATGCGGAACTTGATGGACCATGGCCCTGGTGTAGCATGGTTCTTAGGCTCTCGGGCAGGAGTCTATTCCTGTTTACAGCAGATGCTAGGGATTGTGCTTTGGACCTGCTCTATTCAAAGCATGCACACTACCCCTGAAGTTCCTGCCTCACTGGAGCTATTGGTACTACAGCTCTCTTTTAAAATACGCTGCTTAAACCATCTGGGAGTCCTGTAAAGAGAAATTCTCTAAATTTGCTCCCAGTGTGTAATAAAGCCAGTTGCTTAATCAGCAACTAGGCAGCTGGAGAAGCCAGTAGCGGAAATTAAGACAAAATGCTAGTAAATGTTCAATTTCTATTATCATGCCTGAATTGCTAAAGAACCAAACATTCCCCTTGCAGAGAAGCACCTCTAAAAGTACGGTCTGAATTCAAACAAAGGTTTAGTTACAAGTTGCTTTGCCAAACTTTGTATACAGTCAGAGATAGTAACTTTTCAGCAGTGCAACCCTGTAACAAATGCAACTAGCTGATTCTCAGATAAACTAATTTGCCCAAGAGATCTTGCTGCCTGAAGTGGGTGGCCCTTGTTTTGCCAAAACAAGGATGGTGAAGCATTGCAACAAATCATGTATTGTAATGTGAAAGATACGACTTACACACCTTCAAAGGTAATCTCTTAGTGGAGAGAGATGTCTGAAGCAGACGCTGAAGGCCAGGGGGGATGCTGAGAAAAGCCAGGGTGTCCACATGTCCTGCTTTCCAGAGGGCAGTCCTCTCTGTCCAGCTTTCCCTGCCTCCTGAAGAAGACAAGCCAGTGATTCATAATTATAGCAATTGGCTTTTGTGCCAAAATGTTCTTCTTGCTTCAGGCTACCTGTTGGTTGTGTTACAAGCAATGGCTACTGAGGAGTCAAACTCTCCTTAGCAGCTAAGAAAAACAGCTGCTTAATCTAAGGTGACAGGATAAAGAGAGTTGATAACTATTGGGAAATGTTTACAAGTCTCATGAGCGGTACATTGCTTTGATCAGCATCTTATCTTACACTGCTTCCTCCCTCCTCATTTGACATCTAATCTTGGGATCCCAGACTGTGAGTTCCTTTTGCTTATTTCTTGCTGGGTTGGCATTCCTGTGGTTTCAGAATGGCTTAATGGCCTATTCGCAGTATTTCCACTTAAGCCCAGCTGGCTCCTCTCCCTCCTTGGCTGGATTCACACATCACAACAAGCAACCTTGCATGGTTTACATAGTGTGGTGGGGGGGTGGGGAGGTAACCTGGTAAACATTTAAGTGGCTTCTATACTTGCAGGGTTTCCATCTTCTTTGCTCAGTCCTTCCATGGTTGGCATGTGTCCCATCAGCCACTGCACCTGAAATTTTAGTCTCACACGACGTGGTTGGGACAGCTCCTTCAGCTCTCTCCAGGGACTCAGCAGTAGCTGCATACCAGGACTGTGGAAACCACAACGCCTGGTTCAGATAACCATGGAAACCATAAAACTGATGGATTCTAATTGTGTTTTCTAGAATCAAATGTACCATGATGAAATATGACGGTTCAGATGACATGATGCGAGAAACCACTGTGGTTTGTTGCGTCATCTGAACCCACCCCTTGTCTGACTCACATTCCATATCATCTTGAGGTGCCTCTGCAGAGGTGTCAGGCTTACCTCTTCCACAAAGGGCATGCCAGTCCAAATTTGGTGTAATGATAGACAACCTCATGAAGAAAATAAGGCTTCTTGAAGTTTCCATCACAATTAGCCGCTGAGCAATGGGCAAGCACATGACTTACCAGATCACAGCCTTCCCTGGTATCCTCAGTAGGACCACATTTCTATTTCATTTACAGTAATTATGTCAAAATTGCGTGTGTGTGTGTGTGTGTGTGTGTGTGTACATTTTATAAACCTGCACCCTCTTCATATCCCTGTTTTCATGGTGCATTTGCCCTGTAGGGAACAATGGATAAGCAGGCACCTGAGGCTGGAGTTTCTAAAGAAAGAGTGCAAGAAAGACAGGGAGGCTCCTAGTTCATATGGTCAGCAGCTAACATGTAAAGCTGCTAAAGCTTGGATTTAAAAAGGATTAAAAAAGAAATCACAGCCCTGTCTGAGCCGCTGAAGTAGGCCACAGAGCTGCATAACAGTATGGCCCTTTTGCTTCTATTGAACTGACAAAGTCTAGCCAAGTTTAGTCAGGGTTTAGCCTCGTAGTTTCCCTATTTCTGGTTTAGTCATCCTCCCTGTTACTGCATCACTGAATTTACCCTGTTGACCCAAACAATTGTACAGTTTCTGGTAAGCAGGAGTTGTCCCAAATTCTGCCCCCAAAGCTCTCCTGCTTTGTTCAAGGTAGATTTTTCCATACTTCATAGTCAGGAAAACATCTTTTCTCAGGCACATTCTCAGGCCTGGTCTATCCTGCAGCATGTGGTAAACAGATGAACCGCACCACTTCAGTGTTCAGGCATAAAATATCATTTATTAATTCTCTCCTCTGCATACAAAATAATAACTGGAAAAAGAAAACTCATATAGTTGGAAAGGGCTTTATCAATTCTAAAATTTAGCTTTAATGTGGGACTTTTTTCTGAGTCTCCCACCTGTGCTTTAAAATGGTACAGTCTGTTTCACTATCCTTACCTGTTCCCAATGTGAAAGTTGTGGCTTTAATCCCAGCCTGGTGTCCACATGAACTTGAAATGCGCTTTTCCCTGTGCTTGCATGGGACGGGTGAATGTGCAGCAGTTTGCCAGTGCGAGCAGCCTTCCTGCCCTTTCCCTCAGCCCCTCAGGCATGGTGGGGAACACTAACACTGGGAAATGACACACAAGGCTTTTATCATGGGGTTGCCCACCCTTGTGCATGGAATTCATCATGGTCTGGACTTGTCATCTTTGACTTGTAAGCCTGCTTCATTTCCCAGCGTATTTTCCAAATGCACCAAGTCTTTTGACGGGGAGTGCTAAGAGCCTTCCCTCTATTTGCATCTGGAGATTGCCCTCCTTCCAAGTAAGTTGGCTACTTGCACATCACCAAAAGAACGGGCAAAAGAGGACAGTGATTTGCACAAAATTTGCTATTTTCTCATGGTAGAGTGAGACCTTTTAGAAGTGGGGTGACCACTCAGGCATTGCAAAAAAAAAAAAAACAATGCTTAAAATAATTTCAGGTAAATAATCTATCAATAACTTTCCACTGAGAACCCCACAGTTTCCTTTGGATACAGTTTGAACACCACTTGCCAGCCACACTTTTAACATTAACCACTAAAGTTGGCATTCCATGCCAGTGATAGTTTTTTCAATTGTATGAAATCTTGACACCACAGATGTGGTCTAACTTGCTTTCTGGATGTGACTCTCGCGTACCAGTATTCATTCAATTGGAAGTTGTTCTTAGGCATTGTTTCAATATAGTAAAACAATGAAATCTGACTCATGTTTCTTTGGTCACCCATAACTTGTGGACCTGGAGAAAGTACACAAGTTTGGCTTCCCCTTCTCCTCTTCCATCTATGGGGATTACCCAGCACTTTCTGGATCCAGCCAAGTCAATAAACTCCAGAGCACTTCTCGTAAGTTCCCATCAGACTCAGCCTACCTCTGGCACAGCTTCTGTTTGCTGTCCTGCTAATATATAACAAAACAAAGGATTAAAAGCCTACTGTTTCAAGACTATCTTTTCTAGCACTGATACCTAGAAAAGCACCATGTCTACATTCTTGCCTCTTATAGGGGTGTTCCTAATTTTTGGCTTTGCTTCAGCAGGGAAGGCAAGGTAAGTCTACTTTTTAAAAATTTCATTTCAGCTATCCTCAGGGTGATGCATAAGATTAAGGCCGGAGGACATCACGCCCCTGTCTAAGGCTGCAAAGTCAGCCCAGTGACCTTGATAGGATGTTCTTCCAAGTAAATGAATGGCTGTAAACTTGCAAATATTTTTGCATCATAAAATTCCTAGAACCAATCTTCTGTCTAATCAATGTTAGGTTTTGCTTTTTTAAAAAAGTAGTACTGCAGTGTCTAACTCACTTGCAGGTCACACACTATTTCTTGATCAATATCCTGGTGTTTTTGTTTTCCAGACCACTTCCATGATGAGTTTTTCTCCCCCCCCCCGCCCCCGCAGTATTTTTTTTCCTTTGTTACTGGGTTATGTGTGTTCCAGTCTAGCAATATTCTAACTTGTATTTGTAGGAACGATTTAAATATCACAGAAACAGTTTTACAATATTTTCCCCTGCTTTTTACCTTTGACCTCCAGCAGAGGAAATGATTTCATAGGAAAGAAATCCATGGTATCTTCTACCCTGTTTCCCCAAAAATAAGACCTAACTGGAAAATAAGCCCTAGCATGATTTTTCAGGATGCTTGTAATATAAGCCCTACCCCAAAAATAAGCCTCAGTTAAGATCGTCAGCCAGATGGACACATTTAGTACGTCTGTTGCAACACAGTTTGGAGAGTTATGATGATGTTCCAGAAGATGACACGACTGTATTTGAATAAATGTAGATTTTTGTATATGAAAAAGTAAGGCATCACCTAAAAATCAGCCCTAGTGTGTCTTTTGGAGCAAAAATTAGTATAAGACCCAGTCTTATTTTTGGGGAAACATGGTATGCCATCTCCTTTGATGACGGGGTGTGGTTGCTCAGCCCTTTTTGAAGCTAATTTTCAACCAGCACCTACACAGCTCCACAGCTGTGAATCATTTTATTATTAGAACCTACATTCCAGTAGAGCATTGCAGCTGTGCAGGTATTCTCTGGACATTAGAAAAAAGGAACATTTTGTTATTCTACCCAAGGGTGACAAGAGAACCTGCTGCACCAGAACCCATCGACTGCTGGCTGAGCACCTGGAGTGAATGGGGGCCATGCAATCCCTGCACCAAAGAAAGTGTAAGCCATGAGCATATGACTTGTCTTCTAGTTGGTTTCGTTCGCTTAAAGATTTCATACAGACAGTGAGCATTATCCCAAAGGGCAAAAACTGGGGCTTCTCTTTTCAGAGCAATTATTACTCTGCAGTCAAAGAATAATAGAATATTAGGGAGTGAAGTAGCCCTGGAGGTCATCTAGCCCAACCCACTCCTCAGTTCGATTCTGCAGCTGTCAAATCAACCATGGTGAAGGAAAGAGACACTGACATTAGCCACCCCTGCCCCTCTTGCAATCCCTTGTTCCCCCTGAGCTTTACTGTGATTCTCACAGCAGTGGAGGGCTGGTGAGGTTTTACAAATTGTTCCATGTTGTAATGCAACATATTTTGAAGTGAGCTGGTTTTGAATGGGCTCTTAAGACTCATGCGCTTTTCCAAAGATCTGTTGGTGGAACTGCCTGAATTTCTGGACCCTGTTTGGGACATGGTAAGAAGTTTGTCATGATGAGTGTCTGCACATGAGAAGGCTGCCATTATGTCACTGCAAGTGGCCTTCCAGGGTCTGCTGAAATATCTCCAACAAAGGAGAGCTACCATGTCCCAAGGAAGACTGCCACACAGCCCAAATGGGCTTCACTCTTTGGACATTTTCCTGGCCTAAGTATGTTCCCATTCTTGCCAAACACCTTCCCACATTCACCACATGATGCCAAAAGACAAAGGGCTTGCAGTGACCCTCTTCCTGCCCCCCACCCCACATTTGTTTTCCCATGATGCTTACAGCTGCAAACTCCCAGTCTTGCTACTGAGGGGAAAGGATAGGAGGAGATGACAAATGGTTGCAAAATAGGAATGGCAAAAGAGACTCGTGCAAGATCCCGAAGCCTACCTGAAGCTAGCCCTGATTGAAACCGACACATAAAACAGCTACACAAATTTACCTTAATTAAGCTGTCAGCAGAATTCTACCATCTTATATCTTAGAACAGTTCCAGGCCGTTCTGCACCTTTTTGTAGGCACATGTGGGAAGCTGAGTCCTTGCTGTGGATGCAAACACAAAACGGCTCTCTTGGAGGTTGTGACTAGTCACAAAATGGCCGCCGTGGGGACCTGGCTTGTGCAAAAAGGTCACAGGGAGAAAGTGCAAGGCTCAAGGCTGAAAGGGAGCGGGAAATGGCAAGGCAAAAGGGAGAGAGAGAGCACAGCTAGAGGATTGGAAGGGGAGAAACACCAAAGCAAAAAGGTGGGGGAGGAATAGCAGTAGGCTGTGAGTGGAGGGAAACGGCAAAGACAAAAGGACTGAGTGGGAGAGAAAGAGTGAAGCGAGGGGTTAGGAGGGAAAGAAACAGCAAAGAGGTGAGAGAGTAGTTGTAGGCTGGAAGGGAAGGAAAGAAGGCGGCAAGGGATGGGGAAGTGAGAAATAGTGAAGAAAGGGAGCCTGGAGAGAAAGGAGGGAGGTTGGGAGTGGAGAAACAGAAAGAGCACGGAAGAATGACCTGTAGGGGTGAAAGAAGCTGTGGTGGGGCTGGAAGTAGCACATTTTACACTGGTTTTGTATGGTTTTACGGTTGTAACCTGACCAGGGAGCCGTGTGGCTAGTTAGAAATCTAATAAATAAATAATAAATTTCTCCTCCTCCTGGTCAGTGGCAGACTCAGGAACAGGAAGGAGAAAGTATCACCCTGCTTTCTCCAATTTCTATTTTAATTGAAAATGAACTTTTAAAGGGGAGGGCAGTGGAAAGCTTCCTGGGGTGCCACTGGAAGTGTCTTGCCAAACCCATGCTCTGCCAAGCCGAACACCAGGGCAATTGGCAAGGAAATAGCTGACCACAACATGTGTTGGATGAGCTGTACCTTTTGAAAGCTGCAGCTTCATTTGGGTAGTTAGTAATGTAAAATGCATCTTCCGGAGATCAGGAGAGACACTGCTGCAGGTCGGAACAGATGGCGCTTATTAGATAGACAGATATTCAGACCAGAAGTAAGGAACCTTGCTACGGACAACATCCCAGGCTGATGGGAATGATGGAGCAGAGTTACAGGAAGCTCCCAAGGAACCTCCAATGCTTCCTAGAGGGTAGGGAAGGCCTCCTGAACTGGGCAGCCTGTGTGGAGGATGAATGAGAAACCACAGCAGAACCCCCAAAGTTGGATGGAGGCACTTTATAGGAGAAGGGGCTTTCAAGTCACCATCTCAGAGGACAATCATTCTCCCAGAATGATCCTGCAGTCATTTTGTAGCGTTTTGGAGGTGGGGGAGGCACCAGGGGCTGCTGGAAGGCTCCATTCCACCAGTGTAATTTCTGCTCCTGTGGTAGATCGCAAGTTGCACTGGTCTATCTTAAATGTTGTAGAGAGGGGACCCAGCGCCCACGTGTTGCAGTCTGCTGAGACAGAGTCATGCAGTTCTGAGGAGACAGCAGGATTGGGCAGGTGACTTGACACTTTCAAGGCTACCTACTGAAGATTATCAGATGGAGTGTGAGAACCAGCCCACCTTGGAAAAGCAGAGAGATATTTCAGAACGGGGTGGGGAGACTGACGGGGAGTTCCTTGACTTTCTCAGAAGACAAGAGTTGTGAACAGTCTGACACTCCCTTCAGGGATCAAGAGCCATCAAGATGTGGACTCAGATTCTTCGGGAAAGGAGGGAAGGACGGGACATTTCAGTTTGGATTCAGTGCTTCTCATGGGCAGATGCTTCTCCCACACCTCAAGGAGAACACGACCAATTTATTCAGTGTTGTAGCCTGTTATACCCTAATAAAAGGTCACCACTAAGTGCTGGAGTAGGAAAAAATGCAGGGGAGAGACCTGCCCCCAACAAACATATTGCCAAGAAATACATTGCTCATTGCATTTCTTGGATTACGCAGACCTCTAGCATGCTAGAACTTTCCACCTTCTGCTTTTGTGGCCCATGGGAAGAATTTAGGAAGCACTTTGACTGGGCACAAGCCCTGCCTAGTCCAGCATTCTGCTCACACAGCAGCCAATCAGCTGCCTGGGGGGAAGCCACCAAGAGGACGTGAGAGGAGTGGCACCCGCCTTCTCATGTTCCCCAGCAAACAGGATTGACAGACATGCTGCCTCTGAAGCTGGAGGGGAGATGATGTCCCTCATGACCACCAGCCATTGAGAGCCATAACCGCCATATCATGAGCCACCAGTTCATGATTTGGTATTGCTGAAGCCTCTCAGGAAGCACTTGGTGGGTCTTGGCAGAGTGAAGGAACACTTTTGGGTTTTGTAGGCCTTCTGGGTACTGGTGAACTTTTGTGGCATTGCTAATGACCTTCAGAGGAAGGAAGGAAGGAAGGAAGGAGTGCTGTGGGTTAGTGTCTGTGATAGATGAGTCTGCTCTGTGCTATTCTTGAACTTCAGATACTAATTAATTAATTATATGCCACTATGCACCATTTAGAAATATCAAAACATTATTTTGTAAATATTAAACATATTTCTTTTATATATAATTATATAATTTATAGAAATATATGAATGCATATGAATATGTTTTATAATTATTTTATGGATAACTGTTTGCATATGACTATTTGTTGTTTGCACATGTATTCTTAGTAATTATTATTAATTAATTCTTAATCACCTGGTTCAGGCACTGCTTGGGCAGTGGTCAGGAATGCTGACAGTTGTAGTTCAAAACCTCTGGAGGGCACCAGGTTGAAGAAAATGGCAATAGTGTAATTGGAGGTTATTATGAACACTGAGTGCCACCTGGTGGTGAATTGCTGTACAGTTTTAAAAGGTTTCATTTTGGGTGCTTCCAGACAGCAGCACCCTAGTGCTTCCGATCAGAGGCCTTTTGGTAGTTATTCCATCTTTTCTTCCTAAATAGTTTTTCTGCAATAAGAAAAAGATGGAAGAAATGGGAGGGGGGATATGGGAGAACTACAAATGGCACAACAGTAAGATCCAGTTGAGCGATGGAGCACATGTTTGCCTCTAGGTTACTGGTTACTCCAGCAGGGCTGGACAAATGCTTTTCTGAAGCACTGGGGCGTGGCTGACAATCATTGTTGAAATATTGGGCTTAGATGGGCTGAGTCAGTACAAAGTGACATAAAAATGCTGTGAAAGAGGTAATGGAGCATTTAAAAGCCTTTTCTGAAGTGGGGCATCATTTTTAAATAACCTTCCCCTCCACTCAAAGAACAGTTGAAATAATAGTCCATGACTTGCTGGAATTGGAAAAATAGAGGATGACTAAATGAAGGCAATCAGATCATAAAACCTACAATAGATCTCATTAGAGAGAAGCTGGCACAGGTAGAATGGGATAGGCAGTCTAGATGGTGTTTGGGTCAGAGTTTTCCTTTTGCCACTGAGCCCCAAATAATGAGCCTTGAGGTGGCCTGGCCATCACAATCCTTTTATCTCCCTTAATCCACAGAATGTCTGGCAAATACAGGTGAGAGCAGGAAGACAAAACAAAAGGCAGTAGTGCCAGGGCTGGACCTATCATGCTGTAGTGTGAACTGCTTCAGGCAGCAGCATGGAAGGACAGGCTGAGGAAGAAAGATGGAGGCAGGGATTACTCTCAGAAGGGTGCAGCAAGACATGTGAGGCTGCAATCCTATGCATACATACCCAACAGTAAGTCCCTTTGGGACTGATGTCTGAGCAGACATGTATAGAATTGCACTTTCATAGAATCATGCCATTGGAAGAGGCCTAGACAGCCATCAGGTCCAACTCCCTGCTCACTGCAGGACTCATGTCTCCCATCCAGATTATAACCAGCGCTGACCCTGCTTAGCTTCCAAGATGGGGCAGGATCAGGCACTTCAGGCTATACTTCTTCATGTTCAGTTTTGCATTTCAACATGTGTGTTGACTGATAATGGCCATGAAGATGTTATTGCCCAGTTAGTTGCAATTGTGAATGCCAATTGTTAAAAAATGATCACTGTTCGTTCTTCCTTGCATTTCAATTTCCTTTGATATCCCTTTGCTCTCTCCACCTGCCTCCCAATGTGTATCTAGATCAGCCCATCCAAAGTTGACTTTTCATGCATGTGATGAAGCAGACAGCACCCACAAAAAGTTAGGGATGTATGAGTAATCTGTTTGGGTGGTGGGAATCCATCAGATTCCCTGGGCTTGGCACCCCAGACTTTGGTCTGCTTTGTGTTAGCCCTGACTCAATGTTCCTGTTTACCAGGAATCAGGCCCCGGGTGCTGCATAAGCAGTGCCCCTTTTCTGAACCTGATGTAGAGGAAGGTTCATGCTGAGCTCAGCAGGAATGAAGCAAGCGGCCTTTCTTCCATGCTAGCTGCAGTGTGGAAGAAGGTTGCCAGTTGCACAGCCTTCATTCTGAAAGTGTTTGCAAACTCCCTTCATTTTATCTTGCTTTCAAGACTGGGCTGATCATGAGAGGAAGTCCAGGAATGCTAGAGGGACGGCTTCTGCTAGGTTTCAACACAGCCCTAGGTTACACCATAATAAACATGCTAATCTTCAAGAAGCCACAAGTCAATGTGTCACTGTTTCCCTTCTTAAAGAGTTGGCCCTAGCTTGGCAAGGTGGGTTACCCCTTTCTGGTTTGCAACTATGAATAGACTTCTTAACTGGGAGCTCCACTCACTACTGGACTCCCTGGTCTGTTTGCATCCGTCATAATTTTTCACAACTGTTTGCCTCATGAGCAACTCCCCTCTGCTAGAGCATCTGTCATTGTTCTTTTTCCTTCCTGAAAGTATCGCTCGAGGAGTGTCCTGCGGTATGGGCAGTTTGGAGGGAGGCCATGCTTGGAATCTCTGGGAGACAGAAAGAGGTGTGTGCCAGACTCACCCTGCCCTGACGAGCAAAGCGATTGCGGCAATGACTTCACCTGTGACAATGGTAGGCGCTACAGCTTTTTCTTTATTTGTTTCTAATTACTGGTCCATTTCATCACAGTGTGTCGTGAGCTAGGCATCCCTTCCCAACAAAGGCAAGCACTTCAATAGTTGTTAAAAGAGTCTTTATTCCATCCAAGGTCCAAACATACACTCAAGGTAGAAAGTTTTTGACCCTAGTCACCCCAAACTTTGCTTATGAAACCTTTGGGGCTGGTTTCTGGAGGGGGGTGCGCTATGGACACGAGCACGCTGCCGCTCCTCCCGTCGAGTGTCCAGTTGGCCCAGCCAGCAAGTGCAACAACAAGTCCAAGCACCCAAGCCTCCCGAAGAACCCTTCCCAGCCTGTTCACCACCAGCTTATTTCCCACAGTCAGGAGTGGGAGGGGGCTCAGGGGTTGTCCTTGAGGTGCTTTGATCCAGAGCTGGCTCCGGCTGGCTCACTGGGAGGAGCTGGGCATCTGGAGCCTCGCTAGCCTCAACAACTCCAAGGTAATTATGGAATGCGCTCCCTGGAGTGGTGTGCCTGGCGCCAAGTTTATATTCTTTTTGGCGCCAGGTTAAACCTTTTTATTTAATCACTATTTTAAAAACTGATATTTTATCATTGAACAGTCTCTCTTTTTGTTTTTGGTTTTTTGTTCTTATGTAATCTTTTACTGAATTTGTTATTTATAAAGATCATTTTATTGCTTTTAATTGCATGTATTGTGAGCCGTCCCACGATGCCAAGGCATGTGGTGACGGCATACAAAAGTTTTAAATAATAATAAAAATAATTATTGGTTCCATTGCAGTATTGCTCTAGCAGGAGACTTTCCAGATATTCAGCCAGAACCTGACTTCCTGTAATTGAGCCCGTTATTCTGTGTCCTGCACTCTAGAACGATTGAGAAGAAATCCTGGTTGTCCTCTGTATGACAACCTTTCAAGGTCATGAAGAGTGTTATCATATCGCCACTTAGTCTTCTCAAGGCTAAACATGCCCATTTCTTCCAGTCCCTTCTCAGGGGGCTTTGTTTCAAGTCCTCTGATCTCTTTTGTCCTCCTCTGAACCTTTTCCAGTTTGTCTGCATTTTAGACTGTAATGCCCATCACTGGACTCAGGATTATGCGTAACTGGTTCTAAGTAGAGAGGAATTAATACTTCATGAGTTTTGGAACTGATACTTCTATTACAGCAGCCAAGAATAGCATTTGCCTTTTTTGCAGCTGCTTCACATTGTTGGCTCATCTTCAGCTTGTGATCAACAGCAATTCCAAGATCCTTCTCAGTTGTAGTATTGTTGAGCCAAATATCCCCATCTTGTAATGATGTATTTGGTTACACCTATTCTCACCTGTTCCCATTACCTTCTCTGAAACAAACACTGTAAACCAAGCAGGTGGTCTGATATTCTTGGCAGTCTGTTAAATGTCTTGGGATGCTTTGATTTCTAAAGATTTTCATATGACCCAGGCTAGGAATCTTGCTCTTTTCTTTGTTCTACCTTTAGGACATTGCATAAAGAAAAGGCTGCTTTGTAATACTGAAGATGACTGTGGTGACATGTCTGATGAAGCAGAATGTGAAGACATGAACCTAGCTCCCTGTCGTGACCGCATCATTGATGTGTCAGAGATAGGAAGAACAGCAGGTCGTGGGTAAGTTCTGGAGCATCTGTATGCAAAACCCAAGAAATCCACAATGTGCTGCCTAATGAGAATTACATTATTGACTTGTGCATTTCTTCTCTGACGCTACATCACCGACATTTTTAAAACTGTTAAAAAACTGATCCATGGATTTGCCTCAGACTTTTCTCAGGAATGAATATATGTTGTGCTCAGCTTTGACATTTCCAGTGTTATTAGGAAGATAAAGATCAATATTACTGATAAGCCAATTATAAGAGTAGATAGCACATTTTCCCTTTTCTGTTCCATACAATCAACAATGCTTAGCAGGGTCCCCTTGGAGTATTTTAAACTCATTAATGGCTTTCTATCTCAGCTTTCTCTCATGGAAAATGGAGCAGTATACATAAGTCATATCTGCACGTAACAATGACCCAGAACGCCTGGTTTAGCATGGCTTGCTGTGGGGGAGCAGTATGCTAGTGAGCACAGCCTGTTTGCTCCTGCCTTCTCATGATTAGCAAAACCAATGACTTTTTGTGGCATCTGAACCTAGAATCCTAGTTTGTTGCTTCCAGACTTGCTGGGACCAGAAACAAGCAACAGCCCTTATTGTTCAGCAGTAAATCATCACAATTCTATATGTGGATAGTAAATATGTTATCATTTCCTCATTTGTCTTACCTGCTCATGCAAAGGAAGGTATGAAGTAGGTGTGGATGCACTGCTTCTTTTCCATAAGCCAGGAATCCCTGGTTTTTGCCCTTTTATACTTGTGGCCATAGAGTCCTTATATTCCTTCCCTTCCAGACACTGAATAGGCCTGGACCTTGCTTAGCTTCCGCAAGGTTGCTGCATCCAGCAAGCTCAGGCAGTGCCCCCGGGAGCTTGCAAACTCGGTTTTCCTATGGAGCAAATTTAGTGCTGAGCTTGCCATAAAGTAACATGAAGCAGTTCTGCTGGGGCATTAGCTTCAGGCAGTGACTTGATTGTCATGCTTCTGTGCCTCTCCCTCTTCAAAGGCAGTGCTATAAATTATGACTGCTAGTCCAGAACAGGTATGCACGAACCACAGTGGCTGAGCGGGTGGGACCCTTTGAAGATCAAGTGCCCAGTGGACCCTTAGAAGGCATTCCTGAGGTCAGAGAGAAGGCCTCTGCTTTTTCCTCTGGCTAGCAAGCCAGCATCTGTTGGCCATAGGATGGTGCAATACAGAATCAGTGTAATATAGTGGTTAAGAGCATGGGACTGGGACTCAGACGATCTGGGTTCTAGTCCCCACTCAGCCATGGAGCCAACTGGATGACTTTGGGCCAGTCACAGTCTCTCAGCCCATCCTGCCTCACAGGGTTGTTGTTGTGAAGGTAAGTCTGAGAGCAGGAGGAGGAGGAAAGCCGTGTTGAGTTCTTTGTAAGAAAAAGGGAGGGATGTTAAGTCTAATAAATAAATAACATTTGTGGCTATTACAAAGGAAACCAGGACTCCATGCAAGGGTCATAAAGGCACATTTAGTATATGAATTTCCTAAATTCTGTATATTCTTTAGGGAGACTTTACCTTAAAAGTTGGCTGCTACATTTTGAAGCCAGGAGACTTTTCTTTCAAAGTAAATGAATTCTATCTCAGGTTGCAGGGTGTTGTAGGGATGTGCGCAGATGTCTGTCGCGTTATGTTTGCTCTCATGTTAGCTAATCAGCCCCTTTTTGAAAATGAATACCATTTCAGTGGTGCATGAGGGCAGCAGTGTAGAAGCAATGTCATAACAGAAGACACTCTCTTTTTTCCCTTTCCCTTTTCTGGTATTCCTGCAGTCTCAACATTCTAGGTTTGGAACCAAGGGAAAGCCCATTTTTCAATGAGTTTTACAACGGAATGTGCGACAGAGTCCGTGATGGGAATAGTGGCATATATTTTCGCAAGCCATGGAATGTTGCCGTGCTCAATTATGATGTAAGCCTTGTTGGGGAAAAGTGGGGGGGGGGGGAGCTGCTGGATAGAGAAATGCTCCTGTAAATGCTTTAGGACCAGATGACACAGGACAAAGAATACAGGGATGCCTCTGAGCTCAGCAGATCTGCAGTTCTTCCTACCCCTCCCTAATGCCCGGTTGAACCTATCCTCTCTGCTGGCTAATAGCCAAAACTCTCTAGAAGGTTCAGAATATAAAAATGTAAACCATATGATATAAAAACATGACAACGCTTACTATAGAAAACCCCAAAACATTCAAAGCAGAATAAAGCCTAAGTGAAAGCACAACCACAGTACTGCAAAGCCTAAACAGCCACTTGTTGCTGAAAAGAACACAATGTACTCTGTGGGGATGGGCTACCACTGAAAGGGCCCTGTCCTTAGCAGCTACCCACTTCACTTTATTTGGTGGATTCAGCTGCAGGAGAACATCTGAAAATGACCTTAGTTTCTGGGCAGTTATATATGAGAGCAGATAATCCCTAAGGTGTGCATGTCATGATGATAGTTGTTTCTCAGTGACATTTTCCCTCTTTTCTTTTCCTCCTTCCCTATTTATTTATTTATTTATTTATTAAAACATTTCTATGCCGCCCCTTGCCAAGGCCTCGGGGCAGCTTACAACATTGAATACAAAATACATTAAAACAATGACAATTAAAATATATACAGTAAAATAAAATAAGCCGCCCTGGCCGATTAAAATTCAATAATATTAACATTTAAAATGCTGCATAAATAAAAAGGTCTTCGCCTGGCGCCGAAAAACAAATAACGACGGCGCCAGGCGGACCTCTCTGGGGAGCGCATATTTCTTGTGTTTTGGTTATCTCTTCTTCATTACTTGCTTCACTGGTTGTTATTATCCAAATTTCTCTGCTACCGGTTTTATTCTGGGGGTGGGGGTGAAGCAAAAATAGATGGGCCACCCTCTTTCTTGACTCACACTCCAGACATCTGTGGTGGTGGTCTTTTCAAAGTAGACTTTCCCTTGGCCCTTTAAAAATGTTCTGAGAAGGGAAAGCTTCATGATTGACACAGTATCCATCCCTACAACACTGCTCTGAGGAAGGAGGAAGGAAATGTGGCCTTGTGATTGACACAAGGGGCAGCCAATCAGTGTGCTACAAATCCAACTTTTGCTATATGTTTGATCTCACCCTTATACTACCTTTATTGGGGGATCTCCACAATGAGGATGGCCCTTTGATACTCACCCCACTGCCTTTCACAGCTTACAATGGGCAGAAATGCAGCAAGTGCACAGTTTTCCCCCAACATGCAAAATCTGCATAGGATAGATTTCTGCCCATGATCTGGCTTTCAAAAACACAAACCTCTATAGCAGAACTAGCAGATCTGTTTTGGTTTGTTAAATGAGAGAAGTTTCTCATTTTGAGAAAGGTGTGCAATTCTCAAGTGACAATGTATGAATGCAAATTTGCCAATATTTTCAGGTACTCCCAGATTCAGAGATTTGGACTAGACATTTTCAGATACTTTGTGAACTGAAACAAAATTCTCAAACATCCTTATTCCTGAACATCAGCCACTGATAGACTACTTATCCTTTTGTTTGGCAGGTTCTCCTTTAAAGCCTTTAAGCCTATAGTCATAGGCACATCTCATGACAGCAAATTCCATGCATTACTGAGATAGGGACTTCTCAATGGTGGCACCTCTGCATTGAAATATTGTCCCCAAGGAGGCTTGTCTGGTACCAAACCCAATGTCTCTTTAGTACTAGATGAATACCTTCCTTCCTGGAATTTTAGACTTTGAGGTTCTTTAAGACGACTGGTGGGGAATGTTTGGTCCTCCAGATGTTGTTTTACTGCATTCCCATCATCTCTAACCATCAGAGCCAAATGTGAAGGATGATGAAATTTTGAGTCCCAACAAAATCTGTTAGATCTCATTGTTCCCTATACCTGCTTCAGGACTTTTAATCTTTCATTATGCTTTTGTGCTCATTTCAAACTACTCTCCTGAATTTTTTTTTTCTTGATATTTTTTGTGTTGGGTTTGGTTTGGTTTTTTGAACCAAAGCAGCTCTGAGATCTTTAGACTGAAGGGTGGAATAGTAAATTCCTAAAATAAATGTTGGGAACAAAGGCAATCATAGCCTAACATTGCAAAGGTTAGGTATCTTATGTTCTTGATCATCTTATCCAATATATAATATTTTAGAGCTTTAAAGTTTAAAATGTCTTGTTTTAGCTCCTGTAAAAACCTAGAAGGTTTTAAATTTTTCTTTAAGCCGCAAAGGTGGTATCTACATAGTTTTGATATCTCTCTCAGTGTATTTTTGATTTGGATGTTTTGTTTCTTTTACTTTTGAAAGGTGGTGGCCTCTGGCTAATAAGCAAGACAGTTTTATGGAAACAATATAATAGGCACTTATTTTTGTCTGTCCTGAATCTGTCCCCTCTGCTGCTTGCATTTCGAGCTACACAGAACAGTCCCAGCCCTGTCGACCTACTGGCTGGATGGGTCAAAATCATTCCCTCCCAGCAGAAAGACATCTCCCAGTGGAGTGTCTGCAGCGGCAGCCCCTGGCAGAACCATGAGAAATTGCACAGGCAGAGATCTACTGCAGGTGGGAATTTAGCAGATGGGAGCCCTGCCAGATGGGCTGCTCTAGAAGAAGGCCTTGGAGCTGCTGGATCCAAAGCCCCTGTACTCCCCACAGAGGCTCCAGGATCAGGCCCCTCACCTACACCAGCAAGGAAACCAGCCAGAGGGGGAAATGTAATGACAACAAAGAGAGAAACACCAGCACTAAAAAAAGGAAATCCATCCCAAACCAACCCCTGCCCCCTGGCCTGGTTCTCCTAATGGGAAACTGCCATGGGGGATTTTTCACAGGCAGCCAGTTGGAATATTTGTATCACAGTGAGGGTGCCCCATAAGGGCTGTTTTAGCGGTGGGTAGCTTGTCAAGCACCCAACAACTAACTCAAGTTAAGAGATAAGCACAAGCTATGGCATACCCAGCCAGCCGTAGCTCTAATAGTCAACATGGGCATCACAACAAGGAGCCTCACAGAGAAATTCACCTGTCTTCATGACATGTGAGCTGCCATGGGGCTTTGCATTTTCCAGAACATACACTCTTGGCTTCACTTTGCTCTGCCAATCTATTAATGAATGTATTTATTGTATTTAGAATTATTTTAGGCCACATTTAAAGGCACAATCCTCTCAAAGTGGCATGCAAGATAGTAAACATATCAAATGGTAAACTACTGTGCAAATGGACTCACCAGTAAAGCCTTAGGAAAAGGCAGGTGAAAAAAGGTGGGTCTTCAGAGTCTTCCGGAAGACTTGCAAAACCCCCTGAAGAGCCCCTCATGGAAGCTGATTCCAAATGAGTGGGGTTGCCACTGAAAAGCCTTGGGTGCTCGTCCACTTCCAAAGACAGTTTAGGCTACTGCACACAAGTGGAAGTGCCTCTATAAATGATCTCAAAATGCAGGCAGGCTGGCAGGCATGGGAGATAGTGCCTTCAAGGAATATATTAAAACACCAATTTGATTCTATTTTCTTCCCACCAAGACAAAAGGAGACAAAAGATTCACAGAACAGTACTATGATGACCAGGTAACAACAATGGAAAAGATGTTCAGCTTCAAAGAAAAAACTTTCAACGTAGACTTATCTCTAAAACTGATTGCCACCGAGCCACAAGGTTCATCTGCACCAGCTGAGACCCAGGCTGAACAATCACCTTCAGAGACCCAGGCTGAACAATCACCTTCAGAGACCCAGGATGAAGCAAAACAAGCTTCTGGGACAGGAGATACAGCTGCATCACCTCCTAAGTCAAAGCACGATGCGCATCTCACCTTCAATTTCAAATCAAGCAAAACTAGCAATATCTCTACCTTCTTGAGAGAGACTAAAGGCAAGGTAAGTGTAACAGATGCATGCATGCATGCTTCCATGGGATTTGATCCTAGTATGCCTTTAGGAACCAAGGTATATTAATATTGCCATCTTCTGCAAAGAATCTGGAGTGAAGAATAAAGAAATAGTTGCACAGATGAATCATTTCCATCCATAAAAACAATATCTAAAACAGATTCATAGGCCTGCCACTTACGTTAATAGACAAATATTCTGAAACTTTCATAGCTGTAGAGGAGGCAAAAATGAATAGATCACTCCTTGTCTCTCAAATGTGAAGATCCTCCAGTCATTAAACGGAGAGACAAGATGCACACTTTCTTGGCCTGCTTCAGGAACTAAATAGATCTGGGGCAAGTGCATCCAGAGTTGGGCATCTTCCCTCTCCACCACATTTCATAGTGACAGGAACATGTGCAACCATGTTCAGCAGTTCCTTAGCACCACGTCCTAAAACGAAATGAAACGGAGGTGGGAAAAATACTGAAAAGCACATCATGCCTTTTATTCCTCATTCTTGGGAAAGTGCAAGCTGGAAATCATAAGCGTGGCAGCAGCCGAGGGTGCTTTAATTAGCTTCCATGAATCTGCAGCTATGTTTCATTTAGTACTGGATTTTGTTTATCTGCTGCTCCATTTAGCATCTGCAGCACTGGTTTAATGTAGTGTTTTTGTTGGTTGTTGTTAACATGCCACAAGTTGGTCTGTGACTTATGGCAGTCCTATGAATGAAGGCCTTCCAAAATGGTCTGTCTTGGCATTCCCTGCACAGTTCCTGCAAACAAAGCTTTTGTCACTTGTTGTAAAAATGCACAATTAGGACTCAGCCTTGTACCCCCACCTTTGCTGGTGTGAATTTCTCATGCAAGGGCAAGCTAAATGCTCCCACTGCTGGTATATCACCAAATTCAGCAGCAGAAAAAAAACCCACACACACATAGCCTTAGGAAGGGCACATTTAGCTTGAAAGCACACAAAATGTGAATTTTTTAAAGCATTCTAAAGGTTTGCCATCAAAATTTGGCAGCAAATTACTGTCTTATTTTTGCTTTTGCTACTGTCAAATAGGATGGTGTGCAGGGGCTGTAGGAGGGGAGAGGGGCTGAATGTTGCCCACCCCTCCTCTAATGTCTACCTAGGACCAAGCTGAGCTCCAGGTGGGGATGCATGCACGGAATAAGATGAGCCTAGGAAGTTGCTCACTATTCCCACAATGTCCTAGAGCAGCAGTTCCCAAACTGTCTTCCGTGGAACCCTAGGGTTCCGTAAAATCCTCATGGGGGTTCTGCGAAAAATCCCAAAAATCAAATTTAAAACAGATTTTAAAATGAAACCACATGAAGCCAACTATTTGATTGTCAGTTGGCATCCAAATAGCAAACAAGGAAATGCATCACATCATTTGGTTCCTAGGACTCTATTTCGTAGTGTTGGGAGTAATCGAAAGAATTCATTTGGAATATTATCATATAATCACTTTATACATTTGTTATATTTAAAATGTTTTCTTATTTCCAAACCTACTATGGTAGGCAAAGCACTCAGGCAAAAGGAGCAGATGAAAGAAGGAAGAAATCAGGGATAGAGTTTTTTTCATGGGGAAAAAATATTTTCAGAAAGTTTCCATGACTGAAAAAGTTTGGGAACCGCTATCCTAGAGTACTGGGACATCAGGAACTCCAGGGCATTGTGGGAGATTTTACACACTAGACAGCTTCCCAAGACCCAGCTCCTCTGACCAGGGGAATTGTGGGGAGGCCAAGGCAGTGAAGTTTGCCAAGCCACGCGGGCCTGCAAATGCGCTGAGAGTTGATGCCACCCTTTGTGAGATGCTCTGCCTATGGCCTCGTTCATGGAGAAGGGACTAACAGCAAATGAAGAAGACCCAGGTCTATGCAGTCCAACACTCTGTTCGTGCAATGGCCAAGCACCTGCCCACAGGAATCCCACAGGCAGGATATGCCAAGTTCCCCAGCACCTGCTGTACATGGGCGCACCACCGATTGGAGGTAGCCTATGGCCAGCAGGACTTGTAACCACTGTAGCCTCTCAGAACTTGCCAATCTGCTTTTAAAGCCTTCCAGTTTGGTGGCCAATGCTACATCTCACAGAAGCCAATTCCATAACTTCAGATGGAGTAACCAGATACAAATCAGCTGCTGTCACCCTGTACTTTGAATAGAACGCCTGTAGGTGCAGCTTCTGATGCAGAATGTTGATCACATTGATACGAGAAGCTGTCCCAAGAAACCCTGTGGATATTAATTTTGAAAAGGAGCCAACCCCTGGCAAGGTAATCACCCCTTTCCGAAAGTACAATTCCCAGAATCCCTTGCTAGAAACATAAAAGTTGTTTATGTTTGCAATGTAGACAGAGGCACAGCTCCTTGTTTCAGGTAAGCAGTTATCAGAGCAAGAGGCTCAAGAAGATCCAGTCCTCTGTTTCCCCCAGCAGAATCGCAGGACGTAAGTGTCTTCCTTCTGTATTACAGAATTACCGATTTCTCCACGTGAAAGCAAACCTTGAGCTGGGAACATTTATCATGAGAAGACGTGATCTTCGCCTCACTGAAACATTCCTTGACGATTTAAAAAATCTGCCCAGTCAATATGAGAAAGGAGAATATTTTTCATTTCTGGAAACTCATGGAACGCACTATGCACAGAAGGGAACAGTTGGAGGAAAATATGAGCTCATTTATATACTGGACAATGAAACAATGACAAGGGAAGGTATGGCTTAAGAATAGAGCACTCTTTCTTAGATTCACAGAAGGGTTGTAGAGTAACAGGAAGGCATGCAGCCCCCGGTGAGCCTGACTGCTACCCTTGCTAGTTTAGAAACCACATCCCTCAAAAAGCTTCACTTTGCCCTTTGTCAAGATACATTTTATGGCTTTCCCGTTGGAGGCACTTTAAATTGTATTGCTTAGTCCTCTTACTTCATTTTTACCTCCACTTACTTTGGGAAAATCAAGCTGCCTTGCATTTATTTGTTCTCTGTGTTTTCTTTCTTTTCTCCATGAGTGCTAGGGTGTATCATCGCTCCCCATCATTTAGCCTCACAACAACCCTGTGAGGTAGGCTAGGAGAGATGGAGTCTGGGTTTGCTCCATGGCTGGGTGCGTCTCTCCCATCCTAATCTGCCCTTCTAGTCATTGCACTGCATTGGGCCCCTCTGCATGCACCCTTTCATGAAAGTCATCAGTCTTCATCTGCAACAAGGCGCCCACCCTCCAGCCCCGATGTGATGGGCGATAAGGCTGGTGGCTGCAAGTTGTTTAAAGTTTAAATATTCTGCTCTTTTAATCACTGATTAGAAACAAAGATGGGGTTTCCCGGGGCGGAGGAAAGCCTGTTTCCCCTCCTCATGCCATCATGTCTACTTCCTCCTGTGTAGACATGTCAAAATCGATCACCCTTTGAATGAGTGAAAGCTATTACATGGGGACTTACTTCTGAGTAGACAGGCACAGCGTGTGGCTGTGCCCTGTGGGAAGATGGGTAAGGACTGCATTTGTGCGTGGCTTCCTGGCCCACAGGCTGAAGAGGGGACAGAGCTGCTCTCTCCAGGTTTCAGACAGCCCTTGTACAAGGTACTTCACGGGGCCATTTTCCTCAGGGCTTCTCTGCATGATGTATCTCTTTATTAATAATAAATGCATCACCATCATCATCATCATTTATTACCTCACATGTATATCCCACCCGTTTTCCTTTTGTGAGGAACTGTCCACACAGTTCTCTTCCACACCGTTGTTATCCTCACAACAATAACCCTGTAGTGTAGGCAGTTCCTCTGCTCCTGCTCACCGGCGCCATTGTCTGGGACAGACTACGTGAACAAGCAGGGCGCTGAGCTGAAGGTGGAGCAAGTCCATGGCAGCTTTTGCAAGGGGGCCCTGCTGGGGTGTGGACTGTCAGCAAGTGCCCAACCACTCCATCCCTTGATGCCCTACCTGAGCCCAATCAATAAATTACCTGGCCTCTTACGCACCCACTTTCAACCACTTAAATAACCAGTTCATGCTGTTGCAAATCAGTTGTGAAAGCAGCAGAAACCAGAGCAAACTTTTATAGTCTGCAGGGTAAGAATACTTTCCAAGTCCACACTGCAAGTGAAGTCAGCTTGGATTCATTAATTTAAAACCCTGAAACCCCAGAGTTCTTCCTCCTGTTTACCTTTCCAGTATTTATTATGACTAGGATGGATGGATGGATGGATGAACGGACGGACAAATATTAAACATGTCATGAACCAGTGAAGTGGCTATATTTTGCTATCCTGGACTTGTCCTCTGTTGTTAACTTGTGAATAATTAGAGAGGGATGAAATCCAGCTGGGATTTCAGAACATTGGTGAATAACTCTATAATTTCATATATATATGAAATATATATATGATATAATTTCATTTTAGATTCTTTTGCACTCTGTGATTCAGACAATTTGGTATTTTACCTTTCCTTTCTTCCATTTCTAATACTTTCTTTATTAACCATTTTTAGGAGTCTCCGTTTCAGATGTAAAGGACTGTCTGGGTTATAATTTGGACACTGGTATAAATATGGGGGTTCTGGATGCAAGTTTTACAGCTGGAGGTCGTGACTGTAAAAACAACACAATTGTAAAAGGTAATTTTAAAAAATCCTTCATTTTCAAATGTGAAAGATTTGTAAACATGCATTCCCTCACCCCCACTTTTTTCTGAAGTTTTAGCTGCCCAAGTTGGCATATAAAGACCCATGAGTACTTTTCCTTTTTTTAAGGCAAACATGTGCTTCTCTGCCTTCCACACTAACTATTCCAAACATAGTTAAGGAAGAAAACATCTGTGCTTCCACTCCCACCCATTAGCACATACATGCACAGTTCAGTTATATATATCCACCAACCCCAAAAATACAGTGATGAACTTTGCAAAACTGGGATTTTTGCATGTCTGCCTGTGTTCTGTCTATCAAATCATATACACCCTTTTCTCATGTGTGGAAATCCAGCTGAATTCACCTGTGCCAACAGTTGAAGACAGATGTAGCCCTTTAACATGTGTTGGTATTGATCCGAACACACGTTAGCTTCCCCGAAAGGAGATGCACCATGAACATGGATGCAGTCAGGACTGGTCCAAGGCCTTTTTCTGCCTCAGGCAAAGCTAAGATGGCACCTTTTCCATCCTATGTTCAAAGGCCAACTGGATCGACAATGGCATCTTTGTGTAACGCTGACCAAGGGGCAACGTGCTACACTGCACCTCAGTGGCAGCGGGCTAACCTAGGGAGCTCAGGCCAGGCCACATTTATTTATTTGTTTGTTTGTTTGTTTGGAGTTTTTGTATGCCATCCCATTCTCATGAGCCTCAGGACGGCATACACACATGGTGCACGGGTCTCTCTTTCAACAACTTTCTGCCCTTTCTTTTGCTAAGCCTTCTCTGCTTGGGAATGTTTATTCCCCCATTGCAAAATTGCTGTCATTATAACAAGCAGGATACCTGCAGAAGCAGTCTGTGAATATTGGAAATTCCCTAGGCATGCAGGACATCTTTGGCCCCAGAAAGACACTGCACCGTACATGTGGACCTGTCACTGGGGATGGGAAACAAAGCCCTATGAAGAGAGATTGAAAGAAGTGAGCATAAAAGGCTGTAACAGAGAGGAAGGGCAGGGTCTCTTCTCTATTATCCCAGAGTGCAGGACATGGAATAACAGGCTCAAGTTACAAGAAGCCAGATTTGCCAAGCTATCAGAAAGAACTTCCTGGCTGTTAGAGCAGTATGGTAATGGGACCCTTTACCAATCAAGGTTGTGGCTTCTCCCACACTGGAGACATTCAAGATCCAACTGGACAACCATTTGAGAGGGATGGTTTAACTTGGAGTCCTGCACTGAGCAGAAGGTTGGACCCGAGGGCCCTCTGGCCCCTTCTAGCTCTCCTGTTCTATGATCCTGTGAACTTTAGCAAAATGAGCCCAGTCTGTGTCAGAACAGCTCTTCCTGGAACGAATCCCTAATCCATTCATTTCTTCCTTTTTCCCCATAGCCTTTTCTTCATCCCACAAGCCAATAATTACTGATGTGATTTCTCTAGTCCAAGGAGGAAAGACCATTGCTTTAGCTAGGCTGAAGGAAATGCTGTCAAGAGGCGGGAAAGTGGTTGATGTAGAAGATTATGTGCAGTGGGCTGCCACACTCCCCGACAATCCCACTGTGATCAAACAAGAAGTAAGAGGATTTTCAACCTATTTTATATGCCTATCTACCAGCATGTTGGAGAGGTGATGGCCATTTATGACCCAGTGTGATGTAAGACATTATAGTTTTTAAACCTGCTTTATATTCTTGAGAGCCTTCCCACATGCACTGCTGTTACTGACTTTGTGCCTGGGATCCTGAGATCATCCTTCAGAGTTGCATCCCAGAGATTGTCAGGGACCCCAAAGCTTGCACCAAGAATCTCAGCATCCAACCAAGACCAAAACTAGTGAAGCATCATGGAGTAAGTAATGAAGAGGCCAAGTCTGCTGATAACACTAAACCATTTAGGGTGGTTAAAACCAAAAGGGATTATGAGGAGCTGCAAAGGGATCTTTTCAAGCTGGGAGAAGGGCCATCAAAATGGGAAATTCAGCTTAATATAAGCAATTGTAGAGTAATGCATGTTGGGACAGAAATCCCAACTTCAAGTATAAGCTGATGGGATCTGAGCTAGCAATGACTGAGCAAGAAAGGGATCTTGGGGTCGTGGTGGACAGGTCAAGGAACAGGTTTGCTCAGGGTGCAGCTGCTATGAAGAAGGCATACTCCACCCCAGGCATCATTAGGAATGGAATAGAAAATGAAAGTGCCAAAATCTTGCTTCCCTCATACAAATTTTTGGTGTGTCTGCACTTAGAATCACATGCTCAGTTTTGGTTGCCTTACTGAAAAGCATTATTGAGTTGGAAAGGGGACAAAGAAGGGCAACAAAAATGATCAGCAGGATTTAGCAGCTCCCCTGTGAGGGTTGGGACTGGGACTGTTTAGAAAAATGGTGAGTAAGGGGAGTCATGATGGAGGTGTTTAAAAGAATGCATGGTGTGGAGAAACTAGAGAGGGAGACATTTTTCTCCCTCTCCCATAACACGGACCTGGGATCCTCCCATGAAGCTGATTGGTGGGAGGATTTGGACAGATAAAAGGACCTACATCTTCACACAGCATACAGTTGACTATGGAATTCACTGCCATGGGAAATGGTGACAACTGCCAATCTGGATGGCTTTAAAAAGGAATTGGACAGATTCATGAGGGAGGAGACTATCCATGGCTACTAGCCTTGCTGGCCATGTGCTACCTCATTCACCTGCCTGCATACTCCAGTTGCTCAGGAGCTTGACAGGAGGACATCTTGCACCCATCCTGCCTGAGAAATCCTGTCCGCAGCTGGTTTGCCACCATGCGTACAGAATGCTGAACTGGATGGGCATTTGGTTTGATCTAGCATAACTTACGTTCTAATTCCATGTGCCAGCTCTTGAAAATCAAAAGTTTAAGTGCCTGGGAAATGCCTCTGTGGACAGAGCCCAGTGCAAAAACTCCTCCCCACAGAGTCACAGTGATGCGTGTTCTTATAGGTTCCCTGCTGCCAACCCTTGCATGGTATCACATGGAAAATAATCCAGAGCACGGGTGCTGCCATGGGCAGGAACACAGTACATAGAAAATGGTTAACTCAAGGAAGTGAACCAAGCCCCAGACTTAGATCAAGCCACACAGAGGCAGCATAGCATTAAGGAGTTAAGGTTAAAGATGTTCCAGTAAATATTTACTGATTGTACAGATGGAGACACAGGCTGAGACCAGAGCCAAGGACAGTCAGCAAATGCAGGGATTCTGGGAAGTGGGCAAGCCTCCCACTTCATGTGCAGAGCTTTCCCTTGTGCCCTGCAAATATGGCACATACGTAAGTGTAAGATGGCTGGTGCATTTCAGTCATTGCAGATTCTGCCATTAATAGTATGGCTGGGTAAGAATTTTGTTTGATAAGAATTCAGCAAAAACTACAGGTACTTCAACTCTGTATTTGCGTGAGAAAGAACCCAAGATGAAATGGCATTAAATGTGGGGGAACCCAACACTGACAGATTTATGCATCCGGGACAAGGGTTTTGAGTGTTTAGCTCTTAATTATTCGGATTTGGTTCCCTCTTTTAGGGCTACCACCTCTTCTTCTTTAGCAGCTAATAGCATGCGGGTACCTTGGAGTCCTCTCTGTGCTGGGAATAGCTGTATCAATGGGATTTGGCTGGTGCAGACAAATAAGAATTTTTCACCTCATTTTTATTAACAACTTACCAACATTTACTTGACTGGATGTACATGTCTTCATATGTAGGACGAAATAACTGCCAGATGGGGCCATCAAAATGGTCTTATGGGGAGTGAGGATTGTTTAGATTAAGGGTGGGCTACGTGGACCACATGCAACCCTGTGCCCCCCCAACAGCCCCCCAAACTGAAGATTATTGTTAGCAAAATGGCATTTGGAACAGCAGCTTGAAAGCCTTTTAGCATTCCATAGCTACTGCAGAGCACCCAAATGATCAAAAATGGCTTGTTTCAAGCTCGTTTGCAGCCTTCAGGTGTTCCATGGCCACTCTGGATGCCATGCACAGGTAGATAGATTCATCACTGTGAATGGGGAGGTGCAGTGGAGGAAAAACCCAGAGTGCGAAAGAGGCCCCAGAGCTCCCAAAGAGGCTCACCCTTGATTTAGGGAGCAATGCATATTACTTCACTTTCTTCCAGTTGTGTGAAGCCACTCCGCTGCATTTTAGGCCCTGCCTGCTCATGTGGACATCTGCCCCAGAGTCCTACCCTGACAGGACTACACAGCCCATGGATCACTCCAATGCTTGCCCAGATACTAATGCCAGGGGAGACCTCTGTGTCCGGGCTGGCCCTTTAAATCAACTCCAGCTCCCCTCTGAGTTCTGGTGAAAAAACAGTGGCACCACAGTCTGTGTTGTCAGGAAAGAAAAATAATCACCCACAATGGTGCATTTAAGAAGAGAGGATGAAGCAGTGGACACGTACATGTGAAGAACTTGATCACCATGGAAGGTGTGATTGCTTAGATTAAAAAGAATGTGTTTAAATCTCTCCACAGACCACTCCAATCTCTGCTCTCGTTCCACTGAATATGCTTGATGCTGACATCAAGAAACAAAACCTGGACCAAGCAGTGGAGGACTACGTGGCCGAATACAACGTGTGCAAATGCAAGCCCTGTCTAAATGGCGGGACTGCGCTTCTGGTGAATGGAAGATGTGAATGCGGATGCTCGTCCTACTTCAAGGGAGAAGCCTGCGAGATTCCCACATCAACTATTAAAGCAGGTTAGGCGTAGCTGAAGGATTTAGGCTTTCCAGGTGTGAATCCCATTAGATGACGTGGATTCTGAAAAATGCTTTATGCAAAGTCAGACCATTTGTCCATCAAGCTCAGGGATGAAGAACCTGTGATTGGATTCCAGTTCCTATCAGCTCCAGCCAGGATTGTGCATGATGGGTGTTGATGTACAGCAACATTTGCGGGACCACAGGTCCCTCCTGATCTATTCTTTGTGTCCATATGTCCCCAGTGAATGCATTCAGAAGTGCATACAGGTCACTCTCTGGCAGGCATAGCAACTACTGAACCTAGAGGTGATGTGTGCCGCATGGAATTGCACTTTACTCTTAAACTGAAGGGGGTGATAGCTACTAAACCCAGACTGCATAATTATATATTAATAACAGAATAACAATTCTGTATAATAATATATAAATATAGAATAATAATGAGTCTGTATAGTCATAGAAACAGAATTATAATTTCATATATTGTTGTTGTTGTTAGTCACAAAGTCACGTCCGACCCATCACAACTCCATGGACAACATTCCTGCAGGCCTTCCTGTCACCTACCATCCCCTGGAGTCCACTTAAGCTCACTTTGACTGCTTCAATGACTCCATCTAGCCACTTCCTCCTCTGCCATCCCCTTCTTCTTTTGCCGTCAATTGTTCCCAGCATCAGGCTCTTCTCCAGGGAGTCCTTCCTTCTCATTAGGTGGCCAAAGTATTTGAGTTGCATCTTCAGTATCTGGCCTTCTAAAGAGCAGTCAGGGTTGATCTCCTCTATGACTGACTGGTTTAATCTCCTGGCAGTCCAAGGGAGTCGCAGGAGTCTCCTCCAGCACCACAATTCAAAGGCCTCAATTCTTTGGTGCTCAGCTTCCTCATGGTCCAGCTTTCACAGCCATACATTGCAACTGGGAAAAGCATAGCCTTGACTATACACACTTTTCTTGGCAGGGTGGTATCTCTGCTTTTTAGTATGCTGTCTAGATTTCCTCCCAAGGAGCAAGCATCTTTTAATTTCTTTGCTGCAGTCACCATCTGTGGTGACCTTGGAGCCCAAGAAAATAAAATCTGTCACTACCTCCATTTCTTCCCCATCTATTTGCCAGGAAGTGAGAAGACCAGATGCCATGATCTTAGTTTTCTTAAAGTTGAGTTTCAAGCCAACTTTTGCGCTCTCCTCTTTCACCCACATCAAAAAGCTCTTTAGTTCGTCTTCATTTTTTGCCATTAGAGTGGTATTATCTGCAATATATTAAGAATAAGCTTTCCCCAAATAATTATTAAAAATATAAGCTTTTCCCAAAATATATACTTATTTATTTCCATTATTATCCTTATTACAACTGCTACTGCCTGTATTTATATTCCACCATGTTTCCTCTTCCAAGGAACACAAGACCACCTGTTTCTCCCGCAACACAATGCATTGGTGTGTGGCATTTGATTGCATCGTAAATGTAGCAGGCATTCTGTTGCATCGATGAGCGTTGCCTGAAGAGCGCTTCAGGGCTGTAGTGGAGAAATCTTGGCACAACAGAACCTGGCAAAGGAAAGGGGTTCCAGTGCAGTCCCCGTGCTGTTGTAATAATGTGCGGTGCATGTCATCTTGATGTTCAGATCTTAGGCTCCTGAGACCTTTAACTCTTCCTTGTTAAAACAGGTCAGGTAGCCATTGATGGGGGTTGGAGCTGCTGGTCTAGTTGGTCTTCCTGTGAACAGGGACAACGTCTTCGAACAAGAACGTGCAACAACCCTGAAGCAAGTGGGGGCAAACCATGTGCTGGAGCACACTCTGAACCAGGCTACTGCTGACAGAAAGCATCTGCAAAAGACCAGGAAAGGTTTGTAGCTACTCAGGAACCCAATTAATTGCTTCCATAATGGAAGCCACAGCTTTGACTTTGCCAAAGCTGCGCAGGGCTGTCATGGGTAAGGCATTTTGGAGGGCTGTCATAGGATCGCCATAAGTCAGAGGCAGCTTGAGCATGCATAACAGCAACAACAGCTACTCGGTATGCAAAGCAAACGCAGTGCAATGCCCATAACTTTTTGCCTTTGGAAGGATTGTGAAGAAAGGTGAAATAATGACTTAATTAAATGATTAATTAATGGCTTTACTAGTTAAATCAGAAGGAAAGAATTTGAGGTATCCCGGGTCCTCTGTGTCCATGCACAAGACCTGAATTTATATGCAAATTGATATAGGGTGCATAAGATTGCACTTTTCCCTGCAATAATGACTAATCTCTAAATATACATAGTTTGCACTCTTCTTTGAAATAAAGACTACTTAACTTTCCCCAGGTAATATAAAAACAAGAAGTATTATTGCTACTTTTATGACTAGCCTCTACCATATATGTCACATGAGCAATCTTGTCAGGATTCCTGGAAGTCGTTCCATTCTTCCCAAGGTGTTCCTCTCCTTTTCCCAGCCCATTTTTTTTGCCCAAATGACACATTTCATGGCTACTGAATATTCATGTATAGTCTTCAGTGTGGAGGATTTTGGAAAGCTTTGTTTTGTTTTTGTCTTCTTAGCTTTTTTTCTTTTTCAGGATTTCCCACCCTGTACTTACAAAAAGCCCAGTCTTTCTGAGTATGTGATTATCTCCCTCTTTTTTCTCAGGTTGTTGAACATTCTGTCTGTGCATCTTTTGGCAGGTGCCTCATGGGAAAGTAGCACAGCCTGAATTGTCCTTTGATGTATACATTCTGTTTCCTGCTCTCAAAGAGATTTAAAAGATAAGCCAGCCGATCGCTGAATCGCAAAGCTCTAGTTATTGTTAACTTTAAAAAAAAGAGTTGACAATAAATTTAAGTTGATGAATTGCTGGGTTTGATACACGTGTTGTTGATTTGTTCATTCTGCATTCCACCCTGCCAGGCTGGCATCAGACATGGACAGACACTTGGTATGCTGTGGCCAATGCCCCCTTTGTCCCAGCATCCTCTGCTGCCATTTGCTTGGCCTGGTGCCAGCAGCTCCTACAGCAGCTGCCAACCACTTCCTTCCCTGGCCAGAAGGGGCAAAAGCAGTGGCATTCCTGCCAGCCCCTTCTCTAAGCAGGCAGTCGGGCTAGAAGGCAGCTATAAAAGTGGCAATTTAACTGAGTCGACTGGAACTGGACACCATCACTTTTTTATCTCAATATGCAATGGCCACCTCCAGACATTGAATGGAGGGGCATAAAAATCACCAGGAAGCCACCCTGCTACACTCTCAGCAAAATAGGTACTTGGATCTCTTCCATCTGATGGCGGAGAGCAGAGAGGCAGCAGGAACTCAGAAGGAAAGGAGTCTACCCTAGAGGGCTCCAGCATAGCACATGGGCCCTGGCATTTGTCCAGCCATGCCAGGTGCTGGCCTCCCTCAACAAATCTCAGAGCATGGTTCATTCATTATTTTAAAACATTTAGAAGACACTCTTTGCCCCTAAACATTTGCTGCAAGCTGACATGTAAAAACTGGATGAAAAACAAAACCAATGAAAATATAACAAACAGCATAAACACAATCTCCAAGGGGAGGCAATGGTTATTGTCATTCAACTAGGAGTAAAACAAACAAGCAAAAGTTTTACCTACTGTTCTGCATTTGAAAAGAGAGTGATGTGGGAGAAATACTTTAGCAAAGTAGTCTAGTAATCTGGGTGCTACAGCAGAGAAACTCCCATCTCTCACAGAGATGTCAGAGTGCAAATTTGCACAAATGCATACAAACACATTTGCACAAAATCCAGTTCCCTAAATTAGTGGGCAACTGAACAAAAAGGTGCATGATGATGCATGAAACACAGATGGAAGGGATGTTCCTGCATGTATACAGCCAAGTATCTCATCACAGCCAACTCTGTCTCCAAAAGAGGCGAGACTTGGAGCAAGGCCTATGATGCCAACTGCAAGAAACAGCCAGGATTGCAGGAGAGGGCACGATCCTTTCAAAACCTGGGTACTGCACCTGACAATTACAAGAAAGGGGTAAAGACTGGCGCCTCATCAGTGCTTCAAAGCAAGCCTTGTGAGATAGCAGGAAAGACGCTGCCCCATTATCTCAGGACCTGGGGAAATTGACCATGAAAGTGCCCTTGAAGAGAAGCTGAGTGAGGCAGAAGTACCACCACTTCAGGGAGACACTTCTGTGTTTCTTATATATGTAGTTCCGCCCAGGTTTTTACAATATCATGTACATCTTTGTGACACCCCTTTTGAAAATGACAGTATGCAAGTAGAACTTCTGGCAACAAAATGCTACAGTATTTAGTGTAGCTGTTGGGTTTCAGCACGTCGCCCATGTCCTTTTTCAGGATCCTCTAGTCTGCTGCCACCCCATTCTCTATTTTTCTTCTCCCAATGCATGATTCTGTGCTCCTATGTATGTACAGTCCTCATTGTGTGCTTTGGACACCCCATATTATTATTATTTTCCCTAAATATTTTCTTTTTAAAGTTCTGTAAACCTTGGACTTCCACCACACCTGCTGCTGCCTCCATCTTCTGTGAGAATAGTGCCATTTTGGCTACACAAGGATTGGCAGGATATTCTCCCAGACTGCCTTAAACAATAGTTCGTTGTTTAGAAGGAGAGAGGAAATGAGACTGCAAGCGGCAAAAGAACTTCTTTGTCTGCCTGAAAGAGGGCAATGGGGAGGCAACTTTGGAGAGTACTTTAGGGTAACAAAAGGTGATTTTAAAAGGCATGTAGATATATCTTCTTTATGTTTTTCTCATCACTAAGTCCAGGCAGGCACTCTGACAGCCTGAAAGATTTTTCTGGCCACTTCCTGGTGCCATAAAGGCTGCAACCCACAAACTATTCCTGCCAATGAAGTCTCACTCAAAACTCCCAGTGGCATCTGTAGTGAGGATCCAATGGTTTATTAAGCATTGCTGACAATAACTTGGTGGAGGGAACAGCAAAGAGAAATACCTTCATCCTCTTGGAGCTTCTGCATCTGACACTTTCAGCCACTAACGTATTTTGTTGAATGCTTTCCTTATTTTATTTGGCTTTGTTTCTCCAAAAGCCTTTGTAACCAGAAGTGCAATCATTGTCTGGCACTGATGTAAAATATGGCATTGGGTTTTTTCTAACAAAGTGGCACTTTGTTTTTCTAGCACAGTTGGAGGCTGATTAGGACGTCAATGAGTTGGGTAATTGTTCAGGGATAGATGTTTAATCACGGTTGTTTGACATATGAACAAAGCATTAACATGTTTACTTGCATTGTGCATCCCTTCACCCACCACTTCCAGAACAACTGGACTTTCCCGGGGCAGGTTGGGATGAAAAAACAAACTAAACATATGAAAGGTGCAACCCAGCACCTGTTGCTTCTCATGCACATTAACCTCCAAACATACATGCATCCAGTGCATCGAACAAGGTCCCACAATAGTGGGGAAAGCTGATGGCCCAGCTTGCTCCCCTATTTGTCCTAAGCACATCCCTTTTCTTTCTCGCTGGAGAGGCAACTGTTGTGGCTCTTTCTGCACCAGCTGCAATGGGGTGACAGGACTCAGCTTTCCAGCACTTCAGTGCTGGGACTGCAAATAATCCCATGCCTTCTTCAGACAACATCAGGCCATAGGCTTGTGCCAGCAGACAATGGAATTAGACCAAAAGGCCCCTCTACTCCAGCATCCTGTTTGCAACATCAAGGCACCATTAGGAAACAGCCCCCTGTGGCTGGAGCCCTGATTCTTTCTTTTGGAGTCCAAATCTCAGGGGTGCCATGTGCCCCACCACCCTACTCTGCATGGGCAGTTACTGAAATAAAGGTACAGGGACCTTGACAATCTCTGTTCCATCTGATCTTCCTGGATTAGCCAGCTCCTTGCTCACATGTGTGTCACTGCTTGCTGCCCCTTACCCCCTGAATCTTTCTGCTTGAGGTATTTTTCAGAAATCACCCCCCCCCCCCAGCCCCAAGAACGTAAGAAGAGTCATGCTAGATAAGACCAGGGCTCCATCTAGCCCAGCATTCTGTGCACAGAGGGGGCAGCTCACTGCCAAAGGATCCCACAAGCGGGACATGACTCCAATAGCACCCTCTCGCCCAAGTGTCTTGCAAATAGGGTGAGTAGGCACTGGGGATGTGTGAGGAGTCCATTTTGGGGGTGGTAATCCAGATTTCCTAGACTCTGCTCCCCAAACTCTGGTCGGCTTGGATGTGGCTGTGTGCCAGGAATTGAGCTCCACATGCTATGCAAAGGGGTCCCTCTTCTGCATCATATGCAGCGGCCTTTGTGCTGATTCACCCATTATGGAAGAACATTCTTTGTGTAAGGCTCTCCTGGAATGGATCCCCACACAAACACTGTGCAAGCCACCTTTGTGCTGCTACATTTGACATGGAAGAAGGTTGCCCATAACCTTCATTCCACAAGCATTCATGGACTTCCTTTCAGCTTGGCTCATTTTCCATGATGGGGCTGAGCATGAGAAAAAATCCATGAATTCTAGATGAATTCCATGAGTGTTGATGCATCTCTACCAGGGCTACTGAATCTGACACTGGAGGAAATATACAGTGGTACCTTGGCTCACGAACGCCTTGGGTCACGAACAAAAATTTCGTGAAAACGTTGACTTGGGTCACGAACTCTGCTTTGGGTGGCAACCGAGATCGCAGCCATCTCCCCCACCCCCCGAGTGGGGAGATGGCCACGATCGCAGTTGCGTTTGTGCAGGGAAGACGAGCGTGATTACAGGCGCACTCCTGTGGGAAAGACAGGTGCAATCGCAGCCATCTCTCCCCCCACCCCGAGTGGGGAGATGGCCATGATCGCAGTTGCATTCGTGCAGGGAAGACATAGAGGAGCTGATGACAGAAGAACTTGCTGAACTCCAGAGTGAGCAGCAGAAGGCACTTGCTGAGGAGGATTGCACTGAAGAAGAAGAAGACAGGGAGGAGGCTAGCAGTGATGTGATACAATCCATTATGAAAAATGGAATGAGTGCCAGGATTTCTTTGAGAAGCACCACCCCAACGTAACTGTAATGAACAGAGTGTTGAATCTGATGAACGATAATGTGGTCTCTCATTTTCCGGAGGGTTATGCAGCGCAGGAAAAGACAAGTGACTATAGACAGATTTTTCGCCAAATTGACCCTGTAGCTAAGAGACAGAGAGGAAACCCCTGAAAGAGATCTCCCCAATGTCTTTATGGAGGGGGACTCTCCTCAAAACAATACTCTCCTTCCCACCCCCAGGTTACTCTTCTCCACTGTACAGTACTTTGGTTGTTCTTTGTCACTTTATTTCAGAATTTCTGATTTAAAAAAATACTTACAGAATGAATTAACCTTATTTACATTGAACCTTATGGGAAAATTTGACTTGGCTTACAACCAAAAACTGGCTCACAACCACATTCAGAGGGGCCAGAACGGATTAACCTTATTTACATTGAATCTTATGGGGAAATTTGGCTTGGGTCACAACCAATTTGGGTCACAACCAGAGTCCTGTAAAGGATTAAGTTTGTGAGCCAAGGTACCACTGTATAGCTATCAGGACTAGTAGCTATTGAAAGCCTTCTCCTCTGTGAATGTGTCTAACCCCCTTTTAAAGCCATCGCCCTAGTCCATTCATCCCTTTTAACAAATAGAGTGTCCTTAGGAGACAGAATCCATAAAGACACATACAGACACAATGCTTTTAAGAACATATGTAAATTAGCATGTGCATATTTGTGCATTTTTGATTGAGTGGAAAGGGGGATAAGAAATCTGCAGGTACAGAAAGGCAGAACCACCCTAACTTTCCAGCATGGGATGGGATGCAGCAGAGACTCCGCCACTGATGGAGTGAAGCTCTTCTGATCAGGGCAACGTCTG